CTACCTTAATAGTAGTTTTACCAGATATTGGTATATTTACTAGATAAGATTAGTAAATTTAGAATTGATGAGTAACTTTCACTAGGTATCTAAGTATATATACGACCCCCGCTCCACAACTCACTATCTTAACCAGTAAACTGAAAGTTTACTAATCACGACCAACGCTTTACGAAACACACTATAGTTAAATTCACTAGGTTTTTCTTTCAGTGTGATCGCATTTTGTAAAATTCACTCAATATAATTTATTATATTTTTTATTGATAACTTTTTGTTGCACCTGGTGAAATTTATAATTTCCTTGTAAATAAATATATTCCTTATCCTTGCTTCTTGTATGAACATTTGTAATTATACACTTACCCAGTCCCTTTGTTTTAAAATTAAATTTTTCTGTTAAGTATTATGCATTTTCAATGCAGTCGATGTATTTTGTTTGAATATAGACATGCATGCACTTAATTTTTTTCTTGTAATGAAACAGGTGCTATTCGGGGCCCATCAGTCTAATTATCTAACTGTCAGATGATATTTATACACATGCTACCCCATCGATTAATAAAGTCAGGGTGGTTTATTTTATACACTGAAGATATGTTTGTAAACATTTTTTTCTTCTACGTACCATAGGATTTAAAGTCAAGTGAAGCAAAAGGTTTAATGAAATGGCGATCTCATCGAGAAACAATCCCTTGCTCTTCTATATAATGTTTCTTGGTATGTTCCATACTTCGAACTAATTGCTGATACCAAATACTCTACGGATGTTTCTGTGCATTGTGTGGATAATTATCAATAAATGATAGATTATAGTAAAGGACAAATGCATCAACCCCACTTAATTAACAATGAGGTGCGAAACAGTCATTCATATCTTCAAAATTGGTTAAAAAAGCATCGCTCCATCTTCCCTCTACCAGCTCTTATTCATCTACTATTGGCCAGAGTAGATGAATAAGAGCTGGTAGAAGAAGATGGAGTTTTTTGACGAATTTTGGAAATATGAATGACTGTGACTAAACCACCCTGACTTTATTAATCGATGGGGTAGCATATGTATAAATATCATCTGACAGTTAGATAATTAGACTGTTCGACCTCGAATAGCACCTGTTCCAATACAATAAAAAAAAAATAAAATCCTGAAAATGTGCATGTCTTTATTACATCGACTGCATTGAAAATGCATAATATTAAACAGAGTAATTAAATCAGAATTTCATAATACATTGTAGTCTTTAACTGGTTGTCTATTTCAGATGTTACGCTGTGTCATTGCTCCTTCAACTGCTGAATGATTGTCCACCCAGTTATACAAAATTTAGTTTACCCTCCATCTGTCTTCAATCTACATCTAATGTAAAACAGTTTGTAGTCTTTACTCAGAATTTTTTACAAAAATTTCTATTGCTCAAGCAGTGGGTTTTATATAGCATTATTTGCCAATTTGGAGCAATTTAGAAAATAATCACTGAAAACTTTTATCTACAACCCAATAACCAAACAAAAGAGAAAAAAAAATAATCCTCGCACTGTCCATAAGGCTTGAAAATTTCTAATCTACATGTAAATCAAATGGAAAGGACATAAAACAAGAAAAAATATAATATATGGAGATAACGAACAGTGTTATTGATATTTTTAGAGGTCCGTGTTTGCTCTGCTCCTATTTTGTTTTGTTTTATGGACTTTAATATTGAATACTGTTCGCTATCTCCATATCCTTCATTCAAACTCAAAGTCCATGTAAGGACAGATGATACTTGTAAAAAAGGGGAATGTCTGGATTGGCATATATTTTTGATCAATTTTGGTTCTAAATGATTAGTATAATGTATTTCTTAAAATAATCATAAATTTTAAACTCTCCACAATGTTTGAAAATCCAGTTTTTTTACAACCACCCTTATTAATCTATACAGATTTTCGTCACTTAAAATCCAAATATTGTAAAATTTTAGTGGACACTTTCCTTGAGCAATATAAAACTGTCCCTGTGTATTCTAAATTTGTGAAAAAAAATATTTACACTTTCGACTTTGTATGTAAGCACAGACGATATAAACAAATGAAATATCCTGAAGATTTCAACTTAAGTCATACAGAGAAATAAAATGAATCAGTTTTACGGGATGCATATTTTGTCTATTCGAAGTTTTTCAATAATGGGATATAAAGTGAAAATAAAATTGTATAGATTTTTAATGATGGTTACAGAAAGGTAAAATTTTGAACTTAACAGGTAGCTGGAAAGTTTACAATTCAAGTTTTACAAACATATGCTTTGCATCATTCACATTCAAAATAGGTTTAAAAAATATACACATTTCCAGACATCCAATCTCCCTTTAAAGGGACATGGACAGAGATTCGATGAAATTTTTCTAACCAATTTTAATGTTAACAATTCCTAACTAAGGCAATTGTAATGATCAGCAAGAATTTGAACATCATTTGTTAATTTATTAAGGAAATACAGAACTTAGAATCCTTCATAATGTAAACAAGGCTCGTGCCTTGTTTGTGTTTATATAGAGAAATATCATGTTTATAACAAAATGAGATTCACAAATCACTAGAAACTGCCTAATTGTAATTAGTTTTAACTAATCTGCTTTGAACGAACATATATTGGCATCTTTAACATATGTAAACAAAAACATGGTACGGGCCTTGTTTACATAACAAAGGTTGGGGGCTCTAAATCTGTCTTATTTCTTGACAACTGAAATTCGAAATTAGATGATCATTAGAAATACCTTAGTTAAGTATTTGTAAACATAAAAAATGAAATGAAATTTTTTTGGCTGAAACTGTGTCCATGCCCCTTTAAAGAAAATAATAAGAAAAATATTTTTCATGGTTTATTTATGAGTCTAATAAAATGTTCTTAAGTATTAAAAAACGGGAAACTATCTTGTTCGAAATTCTGCATCTTGTACATGTAGCCCTTGTAAATGTAAAACAATTTTCTTTTCCCGCTACTGGATATTGTTGTCAATGAGAAATACATTTTGTAGTCTTTCAGTTTTTGTTTTGAAAATTGACATTATACATGCATTTGAGTCCATGTTAATTACCTGGAAGACACTGTACACTGACAATGAAAATTTTTATTTTGCACACAGTTGTGTAAAGTTTAATTTAGTAATCCAACCATGAAAATTCGTTTTGGGATGCAATTTGTTATATTGGGTATCAACTGAACCCTTTTGTTTGAAGTGTGAAACGCTTACCATTAGCATTTACCTACTCTCCATGTATGCTTTTCAGGAAGTTACTTCTTCCATCTTGTCGGAATATCCATCTAAATACTCAGTTTATTCTTTGAATAGTACACAATTTTAATTTTATTATGTTAAGGATGTCATTTAATATTTCTCCAAATACCTGAGGCCAATATTAACAAAGAGAAAAAGAAGACATTTCATTGTATGCATAACTGTCTGTCTCAATAATCAATAAAGAAGGATTATGTCGTATTAATAATGATTGAGTCGTATTATTGATGTTCATATCGTTGAATATTTTACTGATGGAAGAAATCACTACCCAAGACATTCAAACAGGTCGCTTGCTTGTTTTAGAGGCATTAAAGAATTGATAAAAAATCGTGGTTTTCATAAGAAATAAAGGATATTATATTCAGTTGATGTAAATACTAAAACATTTTTTGCACTTTCATGTACAGAACATTGTTTTCCTCTTGCCTATGTAAACCGATTTATTATAACAAACACTATTTACCACGAAACCAAATTGATTCTGTTTTTAAGGAATTTTTTTAAAAAAATGTATTCCAATCAATGTAATGTTCAGATGAACCCAACAATAAAACAATACATGTATTTCACTTACTTTTTAGTTTTTAATTTTATACAGATATATATCATCCCTGTTTTATAAACTACTGATAGTATAAAGAAACCTTTCTTTAAAAAAAAATCATGTTTTCATATATATAGATGTACATATACATGTATAAAGAGAAAATGCAAACCACTGTGTAGTAGTCCATGTGTAAAAAGACAACTTAGTTGTTACTTGTGTCGTTTACTGATTTTTATTTGAAAATTAAAATAAGTACACTACTATATAGTCGTGTACTTATTTTAATTTTCAAATAAAAATCAGTAAACGACACTTGTACTGAACATTTCTTTTTTTTAAATTATAAAATGATTAATTAATCGGTAATCATTTTTTTCACATAAAATATAAAAATGTTGATAAAATGATTAGAAGTCAAAATAGATATAATTCTACAGAATAATGTGCATTTCTTTTGCACTGCTGTTTGTATTAGTGAAGTTCACGTGACAATTTGCATGTCAGATTATCTCGGAAACTTATTCAGCGAAATAATTCGGATATTGTACAGTCTGCCGAAAGTTTCTAGAAAAATTCTGTAATAAATGATGTAATATCTTTAAATAACTGTCTTTATTAATAAATTACACAATGTTAAATTCGGCTGTCTTTAATATACGCATAAAACAATTTTGAGAGAGAGAGAGAGAGAGGGGGAATCAATCCAAAATGGACTACCAGCTATTGAAGAAAACAAGCAAGAAATCATGTTCTTAGCAGATGATCTTGTCAGATTTTTTGCCCCGGACACGGACATCAAACAAAGGATTAACAAAGGTGGCTATCGACCTATGTCCCATCTCGGCATCGATCCCCCGTCCCTCCCCGACTTCGCGAATCAGGACCCGCCAAGCTGTCACTGCGTCAAGTAAGTATAAAGAAAAATCTTTACCAAACTATTGATATGCCGTTTTTGTGCGTTTTAGGTTTTGTCCAATCTTTTGTACTTGAAATAGATTTAACAATGCTCGGCTTACGTAAAGCGTAGGTGTGTATATATACCTTGGTCCTCCCTGATTCTGCTTCAGAGGACAAAATCGTCCCTCCGTGCTGAAGCGTGTTTTTCTGATTTTTTTCTTTTTTAATCAAACGTAAGACGCTTCAACAAAAAACTAAAATAATAAGTGGTCTCTTTAAAACTAAGACTGTTTGAAGTGAGTTTGCCCCAGAAGGGCGATGGAAAGAGGGTCTATACCCATACATATCGGACTGTTACTATGGATTCTGACCCAAACATCGGCTCAAAGGTAAGATATGTCAAGTGTCTAATGAAGGCTTCAACTTTCTTTTAACAAAAAATCACAATTAGGTGAAAAATGAAGCATTTATCGTCTGATTTCCTAATTAACATCAAGTAAGACTATATAACACAAAGCTAAAGATTATCCTGGTTTTTATGAAAAAAGTATTTACTATTGTTGATTATTACGTGTGAATATATTTAAGTAGATACTGTATACAGAATATCTAGATTTCATTTGAAGTTTTTTAATGCCAAAATGTAGATTGATCATATATATTGCATTAAAATTTTTATTTGTCAAATGTTCTAATTTCTGTATGGTTTTGCTTAGCGGAGGTTTTCAATTAGTTATAATGTAAAAATTTTATATAACTGGTGCAGTTTTCATAACTTTTACGAGAAAATGGAAAATCATTTTGAAACTTGTTTTAATTTGATGATTCTATGATAATATGCACTTTATATTATATAATGACCATTAAAGAACTCAAAAGAGTTATGTGACGAAAAATAAAAAAAAATCTTTAAAAGCTAAATAAACACAAGTCTTGCAGAATATCCAAATATACTGATGAAAAACTCTTATAAGGGAATTCAGCTAGAGAACAATTAAATTTGAATTTAACAGAATAAAAAATATTGATCAAATTTTTCAAGCGTAAAAAAAATAACTCGAATATTAACATGTAAGTCAGGCATCAGAAAAACAGTAGAAAAAGGATCTAGACCAAATAATATATAAAAATTCATAATAATACACAACAAATTCTTTTTTAACAGCCATAAAAATTATTATGCTGCATTGGAGTCTTTGCTTTCTAACTTCTAAAGCTTAATATGTTAACGATGTTAATTGTATAAGATTAGAGATATAATTTGATATTAATTCACAAGTACAAAAAAAACCTTTTAGAACTTTAAAATGGACGTTGGCTATAAACTTTATATTTTGAAATCAATGATTATGATGCATGGAAATTAAGATAACATATTTTAACACATACCGATATATTATATAATTAATAACGAACAGAGACTAGAGGCCTGTTACAGGCCATGTCATTGATAACCTATAAAGCATCACACATACTTCTGATGCCTCGACATATCTATTTATATTAAATCATCAAAAAATATATTATCCGATATTTATTTTGAATGCATTTTAATATGCAAAATAACTGCTTTTTGGAAAAAATGTTATTTATTACTTTTTTAAATTATTCTTTTAATCATTCTTATTTTTACAAGACTTGGATTCACTGCATCAAAAACCTAATTCTCATGGTATCAGTGTAGCCTGTAGTTTAACTAACTATCTTATCATACAAATGGAAAGAAAATCGTAATATGAATTTCATGGACATATTTAGCAATATCCCCAAAATTAAAAAAAAAGTGTAGCTTTGAAAATAAATGTAAATGAAATAACTCACTAGTAATTTTATTCACTTCTAGCATCAGTCATGTATGTAATTTTACACGGACGATAAACCAAGAATCACCCGAGAAATGTGCCAAATTCATAGACATGGTCGTAACAGGATGGACATTGAACCAGACCAAGTCTTTCCCGGGAAAAACACCTCAAGAAATTAACGATATCGTCAGAAATCCAGGGGATGTCGACTGCTACTTTTACAAGTAAGACATGTATTAAACGCAAGTTTTCTGAGAAGAACATTAAAGCACAACTCATCAAAAGACATTGAAATGCAAACCTCAAATGCGGGTTGCAAATCCCCGTTTCTGCAATTTGCATTTCATATAAATGCATCGTATAATTGGATGTAGTTTTAGGAATATTTTGGTTGATTTTTTATTTGTTCCTACTACATGTTTGGATTGTTGATCAAGATTTATTTGATCAATAAAGTACAATTTCAACATATATGGTGTTTATGTTATGTTGAGGTAAAGGAAGGAGGAGGCATAAATGCATTTAGAAGAACCCCTTTAAAATATATTTTTGGACAGACGGATACAAAAATAGCAGGAAAGAGAAAAGACAGCCAGTTTATACCGGAAACGATTTTGCACTCACAATTTGTTAAATAATTTTACCTAAGAAAAGTTTTCTTGACATTGCTAAAAGTTCCCGACTTATATCTCTTCATTATTTCAACCATCTTCAAATCTTCAAAAATGTTATTATGACTTCCATTATACTCGCGTGATTGTGCCTTCTGTACAGAATGCTGAATATTTTAAAACCTAAAGATCAATTACATGTTTACGATACCGCCTCTTAGTGAAATGTAATAAACAAAATAAGAATATTTCAATAAAAACTTTGATTTGAAAAGGACAAAAACTTTTAGGCAATGTTCGAAGTGATTAAATCTATTTTTAGGGTGACGCATGCGTCTTCTCAGGGCTGCTGTAATGGCTGGGTCAGTTCACAGGAAGGCACGATGTTATGTGACGTCGGTAAGTGATTTCCTGGACATAAGAATCAAAGATACATGTACATCAAATCAAAGTATATTAAAGACTCTGCAAATTGTACTAAAGTTTCTCTATATGAGTGGAAAATACTCGAAAGCAACGTTAAAGTTTCAATGAACATATATTGAAAAAACTAAGTTACTTGTATACAATTTTCTAAGTTACTTGTATACAATTTTACTGAAAATTATATCATGCAAACTCTTGCTATATATCAAAGATATATTTTAATTTTCGAAACATGCTTGCTTAAAATGATAATTCATTTAATTTTTCCAAAGCTTAAAATATTTCTGAATGTACTTTACAATCAATGTTTCTATATTTATTTCCAGCGCAATGTACCCCGAGTTGTCAAAACGGTGGGATATGTACAAGTCCATCTGATGAATGTTCATGTCCCTCCGAGTACACGGGGTATAGGTGTGAGGACAAAATAGCAGGTGTGTGTTCACATTGTTGACAATGTTAGAAAGAGATACTATTTGGGATCATAATCGACATTTGTCAAAACTGAATTTGTTAAAATATATAAGTGTATATAATTTCATAATTTTTATGTAGCACAAAAAAAGAAACCTGAACAGGTTTTCCAAACCGTTTGATACCCAAACACGTCACGAGAAACTATTCTTCTCAAATCTTTTTTTTTCTTTAGATATTTTAACATTATTTAAAGCTAGGGATTATGTTTCTGAGTTTTTTGGGGGCTCTGTTTTGGAAAAAAAAACACAACTAGTGACCAGAGTGCATGAAAAAAACCTCTTTTTAATTTTCAGATGCGTCGAGCACCCACAAGTTCTGTTACACCGACTCCCTCTGCTCTAAAGCTAAAGTGGATAAATACTACAACCAGATAGTGACAGAAGCAGACTGCTGCACTAATGGTGGCAGGGGATGGGGTGTGGGCTCAAACGACTGCAGCAAATGTGCCAATGTCGCAAACACTACAAGTAAGCCATTCTAGTAAAAACACTACGGATAATAATATATAATAAACTCTTTTGTACATTTCTTTTGTGTCCCTAAGGGGTTTCGAAGAGTGTCAATTATATCGCTTTATAATTTGTGTGATGTATTCAAAATTGTTACAGGTATTCGAAGATAATTTTATTATATCGTTGTATAACCTTTGTTTTATTCCAAATTGTAGCGGATACCTCGGTTATAGTACAGACCAATGAACTCCCGTTCCAAACGTGTCTGAACTTTGGACCCAGCTACTACCGTACATTTGACGGTCTGGAGTACGAGTTTGGAGGAATGTGTACCTACACGATGCTTAAAGACTCGGACAAGGGCTGGAATGTCGAAGTGACACCGAAGAACTGCGCAAGAATAGGCGAATGCACAAAGGTACGAATTACTAGTACTCAATTAATTGTTACTGGAGTATTCGGAAAGAATTCGCTTAACTGAAACAATGCCAAAAATGTGCCCCATCGTCATAAAAAATGAACGCCACTGGACAGCTGATATTAAAATCTTCCATTAAAGACTATACAGTCGTAAATGTACATTTTCTTTCATTGATGAAACGTTCAGAAGATTTCCTGGAAACTGAAAATATTGAAGAAACGATTATTTTTATAGGCCTGCATTTTATTACCTTCTTCTGTCATTTAAAATAGTAGAATAGAAATAAAAAATTAAATAGAACAAATACCCGAATATTACTCTTTGTATTGTGCTGCAGAAAGTGACCATATTCCTTGGAAGCGGAGAGACTATTTCTGTTGAGGCAGGACAGGTGAAGGTGAACGACGTGGACTTCATTTTGACAGGAGAGACGCCAAAATCTACACCAGATAACAGTATGTGTATACGAGACCATAATGTCAAAAATATAATTAAAAATAATGAATTAACTGAACTCTTGTCAAATAAGTTACATTGACTATATCAGGTTTGTAGAATGGAATCATTTGTTCACAGTACTGATAAATTTATATTTTTATTTCTACTTAAATTACATCGTCTACTAAAGATAAATACATATCATTATGGATTTGATACTATCTATTAATGGCATTCTTCTACAGTATTCATGGATAATGATATGTACCATGATATGTTTGTTTATCTTAAATTTATCCTTGTCTAGGATCTTCTCTTTACTGATATGGAATTGAGATCAGTTCAATACAGAAAGCCAAAACGTAATCACTAGATATGACAAACTTTTATAAGTAACCATTAGCTACACTGACGGTATGTTTTCTTGAACATTGCTATTGGTTACTCTCTGGTTTCTTTCAGCATTTACGGTACGTAATATGAGTGGCTGGGTGTTTGTGGATTCTGCAAAAGGCGTCAGCTTAAAGGTTGACAGTGAATCAACAGTTGCGCTCACCATACACAGTGACAAAGTTCAGGGTGACGTCAACTTCCACGGTCTCTGTGGGAATTTGAACCGTGATCCTAGTGGTAAGTTGTTTTAACCAGTAATAAAAAGGGAATTCAGATCCAGTGTTACCTTTTATCAAAAGGATTTTCCATCTATCTGCATAATTTTGATAAAAAGAATGTTCTTTCTCTCAGATGAATTTAGAACCTCCTCTGGAACACTGTCCAGCAGTGCTGTTTATTTTGCTAATTCCTGGCAAGTGGTTAACTCACTGGATGGGGTAAGTTTTATCTAAAAACAAACCGAAATTTTATGTACATACTTACAAACTTCAATATTTTTACTATTGTTAAAAATATTTCGATTGATGTTTAAATGTTTTAGATTTTAATATATAAAAGATTTCAAGGGAAAAATTATATTACTTTTTACACAGTTATCTTAAATAACACAGTGGATAATTAATTAAATGTATAAGAATATATATTATTTTGTGAAAATGTCCATCAATATGAATTTATCATTACATCTTTTTACGTGTTAGAGAAGTGATGTAGCAGAAGTAAGTTTTGGTGAATGATGTGATCTTGATTTAATGGGAAGCTGGTGTCGAACTGTTCAATCAATGTTAAAATCCCCTTAAATGATTTCATTCCTGATCTAACTTTCTTAAACTGTTGAATTAGTAAACAATCCAAGAAACGTCTAAGTTATCCAAACATGGACTTCTGAAAGCCTTTGAAGAATTAATGATGGAATATTGTCCTCTTGAGGCGTTGGCCATCTTTTCTACAATACCTACTTCATCAATTTCCATATTACCAACATCCTTTAAAGGAATCAATCCCACCTTGTCTATTGCTCACATCTTCCCAAATCATTTCACGAAATGTTAGTGATGAACCTCCTTGGAGAAAGGGCACCATTACAAATTTCCGTTCCTTCTGTGCCCCTTTTGGAGAAAAATTACTGAAATAAGAAATTGAATATATCTATAAGGAAAAAAAATCTTAAAATTAGTTTAAAGACATAAATAAATACACATTGAAGACGTAACTTAGTTTGAAATTATGTAAACTTTACTACATTACAACATTATTCTAATTTTCTTCAGACTTAAGTTGTTAGAAGATTTCTATGACAATTTGACAACCAAGAACAAGTCATACAGATTTATTCTTGAGTGTAAAATCCAAATAGTTAAGTTTAACATCACCTTCTGTTTTGTATTTACAGTGTAGTCCAGCTGGTTATATGCCGAACTACTGCCGAACACCGGAAGAAGAAAAAGCTGCAGCTGACGCATGCGCTCTCATAAACTCTTTGCTTCACCCCTGTCATACAGCTGTAAGTAATTACCAAGGACAAAAGAGGATATTTATTGACATTGATCTGAAATAAGCCATTAAAATGAAAGAACTATAAAATTATATTAAGAAACAATTACTCAATGCGAAATCGATCTTGTAAAACTGACAATTGACATTCTTATCCTCAGATTAACCCCAAGATGTACTACACTATGTGTAAGAATATGCACTGTAAAGCCACAACAGAAAAAGACAGAAATGATGTGCGATGCCAATATGCCAATGCGTACTCCCAAGAATGTGCCGCAATAAACATCATCATGAAATGGAGATCCAAATATTTATGTCGTAAGTGTGACATAGAGTTATGCAAATAGGATCCCGAATTCTTTATAGTAACTTTTTTTTCAAAGGTGAAAAGAAATTCTTTTGTTAAAATACCCTTTAAAGGGGCCTGGACACAGTTTCAGCCAAAAATGTTCATACCATTTTTATGTTTACAAATACTCAACTAAGGTATTTCTAATGATCAGCAAATTTTTGAATTTCAGTTGTCGAGTTACAAGACAGATTTAGAGCTCCAACCTTTTGTTGTGTAAATAAGGCACGAGCCATGTTTTTTGTTTACATAGGTTAAACATGCTGATATATGTGTTCGTCAGAGCAGATTTTTTCAATAAAAAAGTTAATTTCAAATACAATAAGACATTTGCTAATGATTTGCTGAATCTCGGTTTTGTCATCAGCATGATATTTTCTAAAGGTAAACAAAAACAAGGCACGAGCCTTGTTTACATTATGAAGAATTCTCAGTCCTGTATCTTCTTTGTAAATCAACAAATGATGTTCAAATTTTTGCTGATCATTAGAATTGCCTTAGTTAGGAACTGTAAAGATTAAAATTGGTAAAAAAAAAAATTCAGTTGAAACTGTGTACATGCCCCTTTAATAATTATTTTCTTCTACAGCACGAGAGTGCCCCTCCCCCTTGGAGTACTCTGAGTGTACCTCCTCCTGCCCCCGGACCTGTAAGACACTGTATCTTGTGGAGCCTGATGAGTGTAAGATGTGTATCAGCGGCTGTCAGTGTCCAGTGGGAACCTTCCTCCAGGACGGAAAGTGTGTCAAGGCAGAGGATTGTATGTGTTCATTTAACAAGAAGCAGTACAAACACGGAGATACCATCAAGCAACGCTGCAACTTATGGTAAGATTTCGAGTGTCTCAAAGCATTCCAAGTAAAAAATGATTGTATAGTGTAAAGAATGATTTTAATCAAAAAGCTTATCTAAAATTGTATATGATATTTAAAATCAGTTAATTGTTTGACAATTCATTAGTACATAGTTCAATTTTCTTTTTTCAGCACCTGTGATAGAGGAAGATGGACCTGTGAAGAAGACAGATGTTCGTCTAGCTGTGAAATGACGGGATTGAATCATGTTGCCACATTTGATGGAAATCGTTACAGTTTTGCTCCAGACTCCTGCTCATACACTTTAGTGGAGGTATTGATACCCTAAAATATAACAATTCTTTTTTTTTGTTTTTTGTTTTGTTTAGAAAATCATTCCATAAAGAGTTAAAAAGAAATTCTTCTTGATCGGCAAGAAAGATGTAAAACGAATCGAATAAAACATGATATGAATATTGACAGAAAATTACTTTTGACTATGGTTGACTTCTGTGAACTTTGAATTGTATGTCTTTTTTTAGCCGGATTCTAATATTGTTCAAGAGAACGAACGTGCTAATATGACGATAAAAATCAAAATGGACAAATGTACTGACTTCCAAGACGTGAACTGTATCAGCGGAGTCACACTCACATATCAAAGTGCAGTTGTAAAGATGGAGAAAGACAAAATATTCATTAATCACGTGGACTACAGTGATACCATTCGGAACACACCTTACTCTTTCGGAGGAGTCTATGTTAAAGACGTCACCAATAAGTTCAGAGTCGTTAAAGCATTTGGCTTGAAGATTCTTTACGATAAAAGAAGAACTCTTTACATAGATCTTAAACCATTCTATGCCAACAAGGTAAGAAAATGAAGAATCAAGGGTTTTATTTTTATTGATTTATATGCTTCATATTCATATCACTTTCAAAAAGTCCTTGGACAGATTGATGCTTTTGACAACCAGGAGCTCGATATGAATAAGAAAATCTTTCTAAATAATCAACTGAAATAATCAGAGGAATGAATATTGTGCATTTCAAACTTTATTGCATGGCCAATCTTTTTAAAACATATGTTTTGAAGGATTTTCCCCCGAAAATTTCTAGTCTGTAGGTTTGTAAAAGAAACGAAAATTATTTAAAGTTTTATAATGAAAATTTTCCTCTCCTTCCCGAAAAATAAAGAAATGCTTACCAGATAGCAATCAATTATTAAAGCTAAAGTTCTTTTTCATCCATTTATAGGATAAATAAAAGTTTGAATTTCTTTTAAGATTTTAACTTTACAAAATGCTTATTTTGAGGTTATTAATTTTTTCCCACATTCTTAGAAATTTGGGTCTATTGATCTTGAAAAAAACATCTAATCAAAGATTCTTTAGCACTATAAAGCATTCTTTGTATTTTTTTTAGGTAAGGGGAATGTGTGGACAATTTAATTACGACATCACTGATGACTTCAAAGTGCCAAATGGTGGAGAACAAGCATTGATTCAGAACTTCGCAAATGCATACGGTGATTCAACATGCCAGACAGGAATTTACAGCTACAATTTAGAGATGGAGGCCAAACATGAAGCATGCGCTCCTCTGATGGATACGTCAAGTGGAGCCCTTTTTGCAGAATGTATTCTAAAACATGAAGAGTTGTCCAAATTCTATTATACGCAATGTAATTATGATATGATGAAGCGAACCACACAGCTGAACATGGAGGCTTTATGCGACACAGTGTCAGCATTCTCCCGCCATTGTACATTTAGCGGTTTATTTGTACCTTGGTACAATCACAGCGCTTACATCACTCGGTGTGGTACGTACAACATTCTATAATTGGTGATAAAATATCAAAAACATAATATAATTCACAAGAATGGATAAGAGCATTATCTGCTAAGAATGGCATCATTTTTTTTTTACTCTGAAAGTCACAGGTTTTAGATTATTAATCTAAATTTTATTTTTATTTCTAAATAGAAAACTATTTAAGCTGTAGTCAAGACGGATCCGCAGGATCAGTATATACAGACTGTGCCAAAATTTGCCATGGAACTTGTCGTGACCAGCAGTTAGCAGACTCCAACTGTGAGGAAGAGTGCGTACCCGGGTGCATGTGTCCTAATGGCCAGGTCCAGGACGACTACGGTACCTGCGTCAACATTAAGCAGTGTACATGCTACGATCAGTACTCGCCAAAGGAAAGCAGAATAAAGAAGGCAGGAGATGTCGTTACTAGAAAGTGCACTGACTGGTAAGGCTATCAAAATATCTTTGCCAACGTTTGATTTGCTCTAAATGTACATGCCTGATTTCTTTTTGCAATGAAAATATGCTACTTCTCACCTTACTTACGCTTTGCTTGTTCTTTTCTAGTACTTGTACAAACGGTACATTTGCGTGTGGAAAAGAAAGCTGTGAGGAGCAAATAATCTGTCCAAAGAATCAAGTGTACCGAAAGGGTGTTTCGGCATGCCGAAAGACGTGCGAGATGTACGGTAGAGAGATGATCTGTGACAATGATGTGTTAATGGACGGATGTGTCTGCGACGAAAATAACAACACAACTACCTACATGGCGCCAGATGTAAGACAAAGAATTATATCAAAAATGTTAAAAAAATTCAAGTTTTTGGTTTAGTAAATATGATCCGCATTATAACTTTTTAAATGATATAATATCACTTTGATTTAATCTTTTCATAGGGAACCTGTGTTCCCGCTGACCAATGCCCATGTCTCTTTGGTACTAATTGGTATAATCCTGGTGAGAGTGTCACTTACGGATGTAAAGTTTTGTAAGTGATCTTTAGAAACATATTTGATGCGAATTAGATTCGCACTTTATGAAATTTCTATGGATAGTATTCATTGACAAATCTAAATCACCTTGTATTTATACTCTTTTTTTTTTAATTTACAGTCGTTGTGAGAACCAGAACTGGAGAAAGATTGAAGACAAGAACTGTCCAGGTAAGCTTCTATAAACCCTGATAATCTATATCTTAAAACTCTTATTACTATAAAGAATCTAACTTTTAAATTCAATATTTTTACCAGCCGTCTGCAGGGCTTCAGGCGACCCCCACTACACTACGTTTGATGGACTTGCATATTCCTTCCAAGGAGTCTGTTCGTATATACTCTCTAGAGCCAAAGACAAAAGTTTCCAGATCATCACAGAAAACGTTAAGTGCGGTAGTACTGATGTGTCCTGTACAAAATCTATCCAGATTTCCATCCGAGGGCAGGAAATAAACCTTGTCCGAGGAAAAGATGACGTGAATAGTACCACAGACAATACATATAAAGTAAACGATATTGTCATCACTAAGCAGAGTTTCTGGACATCTATCCATGCACCCAGTGACAATCTTACTATCCTATGGGACAGTGGTTAGTCATATCAACTGCTTTATTTTATACTAGTTATCTGGTTCCCAGTTTGCAGTTCTGTTTTATTTTTCATAAGGGAAGGAGGAAAATCTGTTTATTGAATCCTATTTTGCATTTTGCTAAATTTCCTTCTGAACTACAGGTACTCGTGTATATGTGTTCCTGAAACCCATCTGGCAAGGAAGAGTTGAAGGTTTATGTGGTAATTATGACGGAGACTCAGTTAACGAATATAAAAAGGTTGATGGCAGCGAAGGAACCGCCGCTGACTTTGCCAACAGTTGGGCAGCGTCCACAAGCTGCCCAGTCGCATCTGTTGGAAGTTCTTCTGAAATCATACCATGCTCTGTAAGAATGCTAACAAACTTTTACAAAACTTCAATACAAAATACTTATTTCACATTGTAATTTTAATTGGCTATACCTATTTGGTTCATGGGTGTCAATATTTTTTTTTTTTGCAATACAGGGAGAATTGTCTCACAGAAAACAATGGGCTGAAGAATCCTGTGGAATTATATACAGTGATATTTTCAAGTCCTGTCGAGAGTTCCTCACAGACACTGTAGTTACGAGATACCACTCCAATTGTCTGTTTGATGCCTGCAGGTATGTTTTCAAACTTTAAATTGTTTGTGCCTCAGACATGCGGAAAATATTAAAAAAATATCGTTACCTTTTGATGTATTTAGATCATTCTGGTTTCGTCATAAACACCTTCTCGTTCTGTTTTACAGATGTGACAGTGGCGGAGACTGTGAATGTTTCTGTACTGCTGTCGCTGACTTCGCAGAGCGCTGTAATCAAGCCGGATATCCTGTCAAATGGAGGAGTCAGAAAGTCTGTCGTAAGTACATGTACCACATTTTTTTCTCATGAATAATTTCAAGGATCACTCTGCATTACATGTTGAAAATTAAACTTTTAATCCTATAATGTATTCAAAGAACTAAGTAAATCCTCCAAAGAATTTTATGTATAAATTAATGGAGTTTTGAAACGAATAAATAGAAAAACATAACAAGCATTGTACATATTAATTCCTGTACATTATAGCTATCATGTGTGAGAATGGCTTCCGTTACACTCCTTGCGCCTCTCCCTGTCCTCAGACCTGTAGAAATATTGGCGATGAGCCAGAACCTTACTGCAACGACACCCAATGTGTTGAAGGCTGCTTCTGTCCTGAAGGATACGTCCAAAAAGGTACGTATTTATAACGGTTTTACTTTTACTTCATGAGTCCCAAATATTTATTCAGTTTTATTTTGATTTGGTTCTACAGCATTAATTGTTGTTGAAATATTCCATTTCATTTACAGACGAGCGATGTGTTTTGGCTGAAGACTGTCCTTGTTTCTACAATGGTCAAGAGTGGCCTAAGGGAGCAGTGATTCAAAGAGACTGCCTTAATTGGTAAGATATAAACATGAAGTTATGAAATCTGAAGACAATTTCGTCATTTTTTTACTGGACAATTCTGATCACGCAATCTTCCCTTTTCAGCACTTGCATCAACGGAAAATTCCACTGCGCTGGAGAAAACTGTACCATGTGTAAGGACACAGAATTTACTTGTAATCGTACTGGAGACTGTATCAAGAAAGAGTACCGCTGTGATAGTCACGTGGATTGCCGAGACGGAAGTGACGAAGAGGGCTGCGGTAAGTGACGTACATACTCAATGAAAACGTTTGTCCTAAAATTTAAAAAAAAATTAAAAGAATTTGAAAAAAAGAAGAAAAGAAAATTTTCAATGAAAGGACAACATTAAAATAATAATAAAGAAACAAAAACTAAATTTAAAGATACATGATGTATAAATAATTGCTTTCTAAGTGAGATAACTAACATATTGACCGTTACTATCTCTATTTTATTTTTCAATCTTCTAGAACACGGATGTAAAGTCGGTCAATTTCAATGCATGAACCTTAACAAGACCTACTGCGTAGACAGCAACGTTTTATGTGATGGAATGGCAGATTGTATAAACGGAGAGGACGAATTGAACTGCAGTAAGTTCTTACATCTAGAAATTCATATATTCCCGATTCCTACTACTACTTTTCTAATTTATCCAATTTGATTATAAATTCTTTTGGATAGAAAAATGTTTTGGGAAGGAACAACTCCTAGTGAACTTAAATTCTTCAATTAATATAAAAATTATTTATAGAAATATTAAATGTACATACTATGTCTACTTCAAGCTTACACGTGCACACAGAATGAATTTACCTGTGACAGCGGAAAGTGTATTCCTAGCACCTTTAAGTGTGACGGTAATATGGACTGTGGAGTGGGAGACAACTCTGATGAGACTAACTGTGGAGGTAACTCTTCTATGGTTTTTCCAAAAACAAATTATACTGAATAAAGTGTTTTATATCAAAAGTTAAAAAAAAATGTAAATTGTTGAGGTTTTCAAACCGGTTAAGGCATTTTACAATATATATTCAGAGGTACCGTGTGCAAAGGTGCGCACTTTCCGATGTGGAAAGAACAACACATTATGTCTGCCGATTTCACTGAAATGCGATAAACACGACGATTGTGGAGATGGATCAGATGAAATTGGATGCAGTAAGATTCTCTCTCTTTAAAAAATTTTGATTTATTAGGATCCAGTTAAAGTGAATTTGTTTCGCTGAATCTTAATTTAGTAATATTCTTTATTTTGTCAAATTTATTTTCAGAAGATTTTGTTGATTTTAAATTATGTATCCTTCTCTGTGTTTAATTTAAATGAATGCAGCAATACTTTGTTAGGATAATTCTGTTATAATTCTGTATGATGGTTTTCAGATTGCACCTGCAGTAGTACAGAATTTACCTGTTCATCATCCTGTGAATGTATTCAGCCAACACAACGTTGTGATGGAACCCTGGATTGTAGAGATGGTTCTGATGAAATGGAATGCCGTATGTCATATGTCATTTAAACAAATAAAAACTATTATTGAGATTTTCATTATCTTTGTACAGTAATTACATAAAACTAAGCTTGTTATCCAAAAGTGGTTTATAGTCATCTTTTTTATTATTAGCATGCACTTTGAACGAGTTCACCTGTGACAACGAGAAGTGTATCAATGGAACAAAGCGCTGTGATGGAGTCTATGACTGTACTGATCAGTCAGATGAGAAAGACTGTGCGACCACTACACCAGGTTAGTTTCAAGGTCACTCTGTAGCTCACGTCTAGTCGTGTGTGTTCTATTGTGTGAATGATCATTGTGATATGCCGTATGATCCTACCAGACTACTATATATATCATGTCTCGTTGCGTGTTCTTTATGTAGGATGGAATATTTTAACTAGAAATAGTTAGTTTTCAATAACTTCCCATAATTCCAGACCTACTTAATCAATCAAATGATTTGCAATTATATTTAGAAATTCGAAACAAATAATTTCGTTTCATTACTATTTCGAAACAGTGTAAAAAGACAATAAGTCTAAATGTGGTAATACATTGAGAAAAAAATCTTAAATCAAATTATACACAGCCAATTAAAAATTATTTTCCCTTTAATTCTATTCCAGCAACAACAACCACTCGTATGTATTCAGACTTTATATGAATTCACATTCTTCGCTGATTTTATTTTTTTTTAATCATGGAAAAAAAATCATAAATATTTTGTTTTATTTCTTTATGATGTTAAATATTAAATATAAAAAGCCTAGTCTGTCCATTTGGACAAGACAATAATTTCATCGAATGGATAAAATAATGCAATGAATTGAAGATAAATAAATTAAAAATAAATACGAGACTTGATATTACATTCATAGCTATCAGCACCAGCCCAACCTCAGCTACACCATGTGTGAGTGAAGAGATCATGTCTAATCCAGCCCTTCTACCATCCAGCAAAATCTACATTAACCCATCTCCCAGGGACCCACTGACCGCAGAAAATCTAAGGCCTGGACCTACCGCAGCCTTAGAAATTGATAGTAACACCGCTACAATAAGTGTCGATCTAACCACGAACGATAACCCTGACGGAAGTGTCATCAAGAGCTTGAACATTGTAGGGGATCAGAGCAATGTGCAAAAACTAACTGTATCATACAAACTATCACCGACATCCCCATCCGTAGAGTTTACTGGTTTTGTAAGTACCAATTCAACAAACTCATTTGTAATCTTAAAAAAGTTTAATGATAACAAGGTAACATTTTGTTACATATTAACTGATAAATGTCTTAGTCACCTTATAATACTTTTAACAGTCATAAAACAGATTATCATTGATTGACAACAAATTAAAATAAATTTCGAATTATTGTAAATTTTATTCTCTCGTGCATCTTTCTTTTGCTTTTTTCTTCAAGAAATGTAATCTATCATTCTAGATGGTTTCTGAAGAAACCGCTTCAATACATTCTATGTGTAATATAATTTTAATTCTGACAACAGACTGGTATTGGACCAGTGATTTTCCCAGATAATTTCAAAGTGGCGGCGGTGGATGTAACCCTCACAGAGAGAACAGATACCAGTGAACCCTATAGAATCAAACTGAATGTGGTCGCTTGCGTTCATGGTGGTGAGCATGCACTCCTGAAATAAATAAGATCTATAAATGTATTTATAAAATTTTTCGAGCTATGGAATATTTTTCTTCACCTTTCTTTTTTCAGTTACGACCACACCCTCTGTTTCGACACCAACCACACGTAGGTCTATTAGAAACATTTTTATAAGAATCTGTCTATGTCGCAAGTCGACAAAAATTAAATTTATCAACAATTCGTTGTAAAAATGGCAAACCTTTTATGTCCTCTAGGGATAAATTGACAAATCTTTCAATAATTCTGTAAAATGAATACATGCAACATGGAAAGTACAAAAAATAGTAATAATTAAAATGATTTTACGATGAATGAACATATTTTAATTTTTATAAATAGCGTGTGCTGATGAGATGCTGCAACCGACATCATCCATTATGACAGTATCAACTACTGGACTTTCAGTGGTCACCTTAGCAACTAATGTATTTACGACAACCGGAATTACGTCACCATTGGGATCAATAACACCAATCACGGTTGATTTGTCATTTAACACACCGGAACCCCCAAAGGTCACTGATGTGGTCTTTACTGTTACAAATGGGAAAAATGTCCAAGTCACATTCAAAGATGAAAATAGCTTACCAACTACAATGGTTCGTTTCTTAATACTCAAAACGAAAATCTATTAAAGTCATATTAGATCGATTTTGCTGAAAGTCGTCGAATCTAATCCAAAATGAATTTGAATTTTGATTATCATTTTGTCATGATTTAAATAAATGCATCATTCTCTATTTCTTCTCTTTTGTGATGTTCATGTACATTTTATGATTCCTTTTTAAAACATCCAGTGATTGTTTTTATCATTTTGTATAATGCTTTCCTCAGACACCCACAATGACGTCGAATGGGCGAATTATATTGGATTTCAATGGCCAACCTAGCAAAGGAATCACCATTACAGTAACTCCAAAATCCACTATAGAGCCAGTCACTGTCAAAGAGACGGAAGTGAAAGCATGCACACAGCCAGGTACAGATAATCTTCAATTTCTCTAAAAATAAAAAAAAAATGGTCACAGAATTAGCTTGTTGACCTTTTAAATTAATGTATATATTACATACTAGCTGTGTTTGAAAATGATTTAGCATTATTCGAAGTATTCTCACTCATCACCTGTTTTTTTTTTACAGTTACAACTACTGTAGCAAGTATGTTGTTCTACTGAATCCTTTAATAGTCTTTACTGCCCTCACTTTTATTCTTTATCTTCCTATACCTATCTTTTCTTGCATTGTAGTTTTGCATATTTGTCTGCAATGCAACTAAACTAAAAAACTTAATCATGTTTTGCTTATGATCTGAAAGTCTTATAATATCGTTGGTGAGGACCGAAAGCTTTAATATACCCTCGTATATTAAGATCTTTAATACCGTCCATAAATGGACAGTAATGTATTTAAAATTCTATAACTTTCAACCATTGATTAGTATGAAATCATACTTAAATTATCTAATGAATTATATGCATTTCTTTAAGTTGACGTATGAGCAAATCTCAAAGGTCATTAAAAAATGTATGCTATAAAACAAACTTTGTGAAATTTACAATACGATGTACAATATTTATTTATATCGCCAATGCCAATGACGATTACCAGGGATGTATTTAAAAAAAATCGGCTTGCTCTGTTAAAATCTTCCAGTAATAAAAAACTGATTGATCTGTTGACTCATAAAGAGTCTTGTTCAGTATATTTTCTAGAAGAATATATTTCAAATTGCTTCCTTTTTAAAAAGTTGGTCATCTGTTGATATCGGGTCTTATAACTTAACATTTGAAAAAATAAACTTTGATATATGGACCTTTTTTCTATGCTTTCTTTGTTTCGCTTCTTATTAACCCCAACATCACCACTATGAAATTTATTACAGATAAAACAAGAAATTTATTACAAATAAAAATGAAATTTATCACAGATAAAAAATGAAATTTATTACAGATAAAAAAAATTGCTGCATGAAATATTCATTGTTGCATACATAAAAATTATTATTGGTTAAACTTATCTTCAATATTTTTTGATCGCTGAATCTCTTGTTAAATATATTTACATATATATTTTCAGCTACAACCATTGCAACAGAGAGCACACCTCAAACAACAGGTATACAATATCCTTTACTTCGTGCTATTTCGTCTATTTTGCACGAAATGTTTGCTTGTAATTTCCTCCAACCTTTAGCTTGTCATTGTATAATCAATTTCTGGAGAAAAGAAAACATCCTATTAAAAGTCGATTCTTTCTTTAATTTCTGCAATTTCTTATCAAATTTATCTACATATCGTCTATTTGTCTTGTCTTTAGGTACAACCGTGGCGACAGAAAGTACGCCTCAGATATTATTCCTTTCTTTGTTTAAATTTGTTTAGTGAATTTCAAATGCATAAAATTTCATCCTGAAAATAGGTTGATGGCACATTCATAAAGTCATAAAAATGATGTTTTTGTTTGTTTGTTTGTTTTTCTTCTTATTTTTGAATACCAAAAAAGCAAATTACAGGACATTTTTAAAACTTTCAACAGATATATGAATAATGTTGTTAAGATTAGAATAACTCCAAATGACGAAATATCGAATTTATTTTATTTCAACATAAATGCATTGACACGAAGATAAGAATTATCAGTCGCTGTAAAATATTATCATTTTAGTCATACCAACCACAACAACTGTGCCATCAACACCCAGTGGATCAACACCTTCTGTAACAGCTTCAACATCAACGCCAAGTGGACCAACCACTACTTCAGCAACTAGTAAGAACAACATTTTGTCTAATTATGAACAAAAAAGCTTTATTGCAATCCTTACTTACGGATCGTTTTTAATCCTAAAAGGAGGTGTATGTCTTTTTCAAAAGCTTTCTCTATGAGGAACACACTTGCGTGTGTTTATCTCTTCTGTATTTGTGAATACCGAATTAAGATTTAGACATCAATAAAAAGAGTAATTTTGTTTTTACTAAAGTTTAATAGTTGTATAATAAAACTTCAAGCATATATTTCATTCTTTTTTGAAATAAAGTTGGTCTATAATATAAACATGTACAAGAATTTCATCCAAGACCACATAAAAATAAACTGGATAGGAATTTAGATGGGAAAGTTAGTCTTTTTTACAACATAAACATTCATTTAATATAAAATCTCATCAAACTGTTCAAATTTCTTCAATTTCTCTTGCAGCAGCTTCCACGCCGTCATTAACAGAATCTACCCCTTTCACTGAATCGACACCTGTAACAGAAGTTACTCCCATAACAACAACAGGTGCGTGTTAATAGACTTAAAATAAGTATGCAAAGATAGTCCAATTTCAAAGTTAAAGGCCCCTATTCTTCAAAATAAAGATACATGCATCGTTATCGTAAATTAGTTACTGTCAGTTTTGCTTGAAATATGTCACGCCATACTCTTTTAGTTGAAATGCAAAATTTATGAGATTGTTGAAAGAATTGGGTGATTTTTTGAGGAAATAAAAATAAAGTTACAAATTTAAGAAAAATCTCTATGCCCAAAATTAAAAAAAAAATCTCATAAATAAGATGGTCCGTTTTGTTCATGCAAAACAATTCGTTTTATTTAAACACATAATATTGAAATTTTCTCACATCATTCGACAAAAACAATAAATAAAAACAACGAAGTGCTGACGGGAATTTCTTTTGTTTTTAAGTTTGCCAAGACATAATGATAAATCAAGGAAACTCTGATTTGGTGACTGTGAGCAGTAGCGTTTATCCAAATCCCAAAGATGTTTTTACTGTGACGGGTGCCTCTGAAAATGCACAGACATCAATAGCTTCTGCTATTTTGACATTTAGCAATAACGCTAAGATAAATGATGTACTCCTGACGGTAGCAAATGCATATAAAACCAAACTAGATCTTCTAAGGGAAGATGGAACAATTGCAGCAACTAGAGTAAGTTCTTAACTTTTGAGATTCTTGTAACTAGATGTGATATAGATTGAAATTGAACAAAAAATTAATATTATAAAAGTTTGAATTGTTGATAACAGCGGGAGCTAGTCAAAAGGATGTCTAATTCAAATGTTATGGAATTCATTCATAAAGATTATAAATTGACTAATATTGACAAATACTCTTTTTGCTAGGAAGTCGCTTACCAAGGCAAAGTAATGGTGGATTTTCTAGGCGCCGAGGGCAAATCAATAAAAATACAATTATTTAAGGACATAACATCGAATCCATCCAAGATTTCTTCTGTTGAAATTCAGGCATGCACACAAGGTAAAATAATTAAACAAAAATTATGTAACTTTAGATGTAGGATAGCAGATTAAACCCAAAGTATACACGTATCAGAGCTGTGAGACAGAGAAAGAAGATATTAAATTTTGCATAGGTAGAAGTGTGTACAGTGGTTTTCTGTATAGTCGTCAACCGATACTCCTTGTAAAATGTATTAAATGATTATAACATGCTATGAACTCAGACCTGTGTACCAATATAGAGTTTCAACTTCTTGTAAAACTTATTCTTCTGAAAAGTCTTTTTCTTAAATGCTCATATTTTAAAGTCATATCACGAAAATACAACCTATTATAAACAATAAATATACTTATTTAATTCTATGATGTGAAGGGTGTAAATTCTTAAAAATTAAATTTTTGTGTTATCATTTCTCAAGGACCCATTTTCCTCCAAGTGCTGCATTACAGTGTATTCTTCATCAACTCAAAGAGCTTTTTCAAAACCATTAATTTATCGAAAAAGTGAAAATTTGAAAAGAGGATATTCAACATCAAGAACAAATTATAAATTCTTATTCTTAATTGAAGGTCTTACCACCACAACCAGTAAGACAACTCCTTCTGTTACAGTACAAACAACAACACCGAGTGTACCAACCACCACTCCAACCACAAGTGAGTCAAACTTCATGTCTTACTGTTTTTGGGGATATTGAGTAAGTGTTGATCATGTGTCAGTTGGGAAGGTACTACACTGTATTATCAGATGCAGGAGAGAAAGAGAAACTATAATTAATATTCAGTTTATTGAAACATGCTTGATGTGTTTCAGTTTGTGTGGATGCCATGTTGCCCGCGGGTGTGGATGTGTTGTCACCCAGCAGTAGCGATATTCCAACAGGCGATCTTCCAAAGATATTGACTCCTACGGGTGCCACTACTACGACAGACAACCCTACTCCCACAGTTGTATTTGACTTGAACAAAGAAACGCCTCCTCGTGTCACCGAGGTCAGCGTTACAGTAACCAATGCTGATCGAGTGGACGTTGAACTGGAACAACCAAACGGAGAAAAAATAACCAAGGTTGGTTGCCTCCTACATACGTAAACGGTATCTTTCTTTGTGGACAGAAATGATGCCGAAGAAGGTTGAGTGACGGTAAATGCACAGACATTATAGTATATTGGGTTTGTTATTGTTTCATTTTCATTACAGACACCAGTTATTCAACCAAGCGGAGTTGTGACAGTGAACTTCAACGGAGAAGAGGGAACAAAAATAACCATAAAGATAACCAAGAAGGATGCAAGTCAACCTTCAACAGTATCTGATGTCAAAGTGAAGGCCTGTACTGAGGGTAGGTGTAATATGCTACAAAAACGCAAAAGCGGTATCTATAGTACCCATTTCATCCCATACTTTTGCTAGATAATGATTTCTGGGAGTTCTGTAACTTGTGCTCCTAGGTAGGAAACCGTTCTTCAAATATAGTTACCAGCTTTCACTGTTTTTGAGCCGAATCTACTTTCAATCCATATAATCTCTAGCAAGGAAGTGGTCTGTAAGCTCAAATAGTCAAACAAAAAGTCCTACACATATCCAATTCCAACATTTGAACGAAAATCAAGAAAACATTCGCCTAAATTACCTTAACGTAATTTATCTTGAGAAATTCTGAATCTTATTCTTCAGTCACAACGACAGCCTTGACCACAACCGTTGGAACCACACCAGCCGTTTCAACACCCAGTGGGCCGACACCCTCTGTTACAGTACCAACAACAACACCTAGTGTACCAACCACCACTCCAACCACAAGTGAGTCAAACAACCTCGTCTTATTATAGGCTAGAATCTAGAGGAAGTAAGGAGAGGGTGTCCATTCGGAGGCCTCAGGATCCAGAAGAAAATGAATGTGGAAAACAATCGCTATTCAGTTTAATAAGTGAAAAATGCATTTTGTGTTTTAGTTTGCGTGGATGCCATGCTGCCAGCGGGTGTAGATGTGTTGTCACCCAGCAGTAGCGACATTCCAACAGGCGATCTTCCAAAGATACTAACTCCTACCGGTGCCACTACCACGACGGACAACCCTACTCCCACAGTTGTATTTGACTTGAACAAAGAAACGCCTCCTCGTGTCACCGAGGTCAGCGTTACAGTAACCAATGCTGATCGAGTGGACGTTGAACTGGAACAACCAAACGGAGAAAAAATAACCAAGGTTGGTTGCCTCCTGAATATCTACATTGAATCTTTCTTTGTGGACAGAAATGATGCCGAAGAAGGTTGAGTGAAGGTAAATGCAAAGGCATTATAGAATATTAGTTTTGTAAATTTGTATTTTGTTTCATATTCTTTACAGACACCAGTTATCCAACCAAGCGGAGTTGTGACAGTGAACTTCAATGGAGAAGAGGGAACAAAGATAACCATTAAGATAACCAAGAAGGATACAAGTCAACCATCAACAGTATCTGATGTCAAAGTGAAGGCCTGTACTGAGGGTAGGTGTAATTTGCTACAAAAAAGCGAGAGCTTTATGTATAGTACCCATTTAATTCTATACTTTTATTAAATAACGATTTCTGGGAGATCTGTAACTTGTGCTCTTAGGTAGGAAATTGTTCTTCAAATACAGTCATCAGACAAAATTACATTGTTTTTGAGCCGAATCTACTTTCAATTTCTTTGATCTCCATCAAGAAGTGGCCTGTTGGCTCAAATAGGCAAAGAAAAAGACTAACACATATCAAGTTTCATCATTTGAACGTAAATCAAGAAAAGATTCACCTAAATTACTCTAGAGTGTTTAAGCTAAACTTCTTCTGAATCTTATTCTTTAGTCACAACGACAGCCTCGACCACAACCGTTGGTACCACACCAAGCGTTTCAACACCCAGTGGGCCGACACCCTCCGTTACAGTACCAACAACAACACCCAGTGTACCAACCACCACTGGACCAACACCCTCCGTTACAGTAACAGAAACAACTCCGAGGGTACCAACCACCACTCCAACCACCAGTGAGTCAAACTTTCCTTTTGTTAAATTTTCTTAAATATAAAGTAAATAAGGAGAGAATCTCAATTCGGGGGCATTAGGGTGAAGGAGAGAAAAAAAGAAAAGAATTGATATTCAGTGTATCGAAACATGCTTTGTATGTTTCAGTTTGTGTGGATGCCATGCTGCCCGCGGGTGTGGATGTGTTGTCACCCAGCAGTAGCGATATTCCAACAGGCGATCTTCCAAAGATATTGACTCCTACGGGTGCCACTACCACGACGGACAACCCTACTCCCACAGTTGTATTTGACTTGAACAAAGAAACGCCTCCTCGTGTCACCGAGGTCAGCGTTACAGTAACCAATGCTGATCGAGTGGACGTTGAACTGGAACAACCAAATGGAGAAAAAATAACCAAGGTTGGTTGCCTCCTACAATGAATTGTATCTTTCACTTTGTGGGTGCCACTACCACGACAGACAAGTAACTCCCACAGTTGTATTTGACTTGAACAAAGAAACGCCTCCTCGTGTCACCGAGGTCAGCGTTACTGTAACCAATGCTGATCGAGTGGACGTTGAACTGGAACAACCAAACGGAGAAAAAATAACCAAGAAGGTTGGTTGCCTCAACAGTATCTGATGTCAAAGTGAATCTTTCTTTGTGGAGGTGTAAATGATACCGAAGAAGGTTGAGTGACCCATTAAATCTTACATTATAGATATATTTGGAGTTTGTTACATTTGTTTAGGAAACCATTTTCAATTACAGACACCACTGTTATTCAACCAAGCGGAGTTGTGACAGTGAACTTCAACGGAGAAGAGGGAACAAAAATAACCATTAAGATAACCAAAGAAGGTACAAGGTCCAATACCAAGCCATTTTCTTTTATTAAAAAATTTCTGGGAGATCTTGTAGTCATTAAGGAAATTGTCTTTCAAATACAGTCATCAGACCACAAAATTACTGTTTTTCAAACAAAAATACAACAACACCCCAATTCTTTGATGTCAAATTGGCCGACACCCTCTGTTACAGTACTTAAACTACAAGTGAGTCAAATCACCGTCTTTCTAGTCACAACGACAACCACAAGCGGGTTATTGTTACAGTGACAGTGTAACAGAAACTCCAATGGAGTACTTTTTTAGAAGGAAGAACAAATTCTGGGAGGATGAGAGAAAATGAATGTGGAAAAAAGTATTCATTGAAAAATGCTTTGTGTGTTTTAGTTTGTGTGGATGCCATGCTGCCAGCGGGTGTGGATGTGTTGTCACCCAGCAGTAGCCTTCAACAGGCGATCTTCCAAAGATGACTCCTACCGGTGCCACTACCACGACGGACAACCCTACTCCCCAGTTGTATTTGACTTGAACAAAGAAACGCCTCCTCGTGTACCGAGGTCAGCGTTACTGTAACCAATGCTGATCGAGTGTTTGGAACAACCAAACGGAGAAAAAATAACCAAGGTTGGTTGCCTCCTAATATATATCTTTGTTATCCGAAGAAGGTTGAGTGAAGGTAAATGCAATATAGAATATAAGGTTGTGTAAATGTTTCATATACAGACACCAGTTATCCAACCAAGCGGAGTTGTGACAGTGAACTTCAATGGAGAAGAGGGAACAAAGATAACCATTAAGATACCAAGAAGGATACAAGTCAACCTTCAACAGTATCTGATGTCAAAGTGAAGGCCTGTACAGGGTAGGTGTAATTGTACAAAAACAAACAAACCCATTCTATACTTTTATTAAATAACGATTCTATCTTGACTAGGATATATTTACATTGTTTTTGAAGATCTGATTCTATCAAGAAGTGGTCTGTTGGCTAAAATAGTCAAAGAAAAAGACTAACACATATAACACATTTGAACGTGAAGTATCCTTTAAATCAAGCTTAATTTCTAATAACATGTTCTTGAACCCTATCTAATTATCTCTAAATAGACTCGAGAATTCTAAAATACGAAAAAGTACGGTGCAATCAGCTATAATACTTTTTTCTTCTTTGTTATTAAAGAATTTCTTCCTTTCTTGTAGTCACAACGACAGCCCCGACCACAACCGCTGGTACCACACCAAGCGTTTCAACCCCAAGTGGGCCGACACCCTCTGTTACAGTACCAACAACAACACCCAGTGTACCAACCACCACTCCAACTACAAGTGAGTCAAATCCTGTACATGTTGTCTTTCTAGTAAATATCATATAGTACGGACTGTTATTGTTTCTTAGCTTTGAAACATTCAAATGGAGTAGAGAAGGAGAGAAAGAGGCACCATTGATACAAAAAGTAATTATAAATACTTTGTGTGTTTTAGCTTGTGTGGATGCCATGCTGCCCGCGGGTGTGGATGTCTTGTCACCCAGCAGTAGCGACATTCCAACAAGCGATCTTCCAAAGATACTAACTCCTACCGGTGCAACTACTACGACGGACAACCCTACTCCCACTGTTGTATTTGACTTGAACAAAGAAACGCCTCCTCGTGTCACCGAGGTCAGCGTTACAGTAACCAATGCTGATCGAGTGGACGTTGAACTGGAACAACCAAACGGAGAAAAAATAACCAAGGTTGGTTGCCTCCTACATATGTAAACGGTATCTTTCTTTGTGGAGAGAAATTATGCCGAAGAAGGTTGAGTGACGGTAAATGCAGAGACAATATAGTATATTGGGTTTGTTAATGTTTCATTTTCATTACAGACACCAGTTATTCAACCAAGCGGAGTTGTGACAGTGAACTTCAACGGAGAAGAGGGAACAAAAATAACCATAAAGATAACCAAGAAGGATGCAAGTCAACCTTCAACAGTATCTGATGTCAAAGTGAAGGCCTGTACTGAGGGTAGGTGTAATATGCTACAAAAACGCAAAAGCGTTATCTATAGTACCCATTTAATCCCTTACTTTTGCTAGATAACGACTTCTGGGAGTTCTGTAACTTGTGCCCCTAGGTAGGAAACCGTTCTTCAAATATAGTTACCAGCTTTCACTGTTTTTGAGCCGAATCTACTTTCAATCCATCTAATCTCTAGCAAGGAAGTGGTCTGTAAGCTCAAATAGTCAAACAAAAAGACATACACATATCCAATTCCAACATTTGAACGAAAATCAAGAAAACATTCGCCTAAATTACCTTAACGTAATTTACCTTGAAAAATTCTGAATTCTATTCTTCAGTCACAACGACAGCCTTGACCACAACCGCTGGTACCACACCAAGCGTTTCAACCCCAAGTGGGCCGACACCCTCTGTTACAGTACCAACAACAACACCCAGTGTACCAACCACCACTCCAACTACAAGTGAGTCAAATCCTGTACATGTTGTCTTTCTAGTAAATATCATATAGTGCGGACTGTTATTGTTTCTTATCTTGGAAACATCCAAATGGAGTAGAGAAGGAGAGAAAGAGGCACCATTGATACAAAAAGTAATTATAAATACTTTGTGTGTTTTAGCTTGTGTGGATGCCATGCTGCCAGTGGGTGTGGATGTGTTGTCACCCAGCAGTAGCGACATTCCAACAGGCGATCTTCCAAAGATACTGACTCCTACCGGTGCCACTACCACGACGGACAACCCCACTCCCACAGTTGTATTCGACTTGAACAAAAACACGCCTCCTCGTGTTACCGAGGTCAGCGTTACTGTAACCAATGCTGATCGAGTGGACGTTGAACTGGAACAACCAAATGGAGAAAAAATAACCAAGGTGGGTTGCCTCCTAAATTTCTGTCCTTCATTTTCGTGAGAATGAATCCTGAAACTGTTAAACGAAAGTAAAATACAAATGCAATATAGGATGAAGGTTGTGTGAAATTTCCATTCTTTCTTATAGACACCAGTTATCCAACCAAGCGGAGTCGTGACAGTGAACTTCAATGGAGAAGAGGGAACAAAGATAACCATTAAGATAACCAAGAAGGATACAAGTCAACCTTCAACAGTATCCAATGTCATAGTGAAGGCCTGTACAGAAGGTAATTGTATACTGCTGTTCAATGCACCGATATATCTTACATTGTGACTGATATATTTTTTGGGTGATATTCAACATTGTCACCCTAACAAGTGAAGTATCCTTTAAATACAGCTTAATTTCTAATAACATGTTCTTGAACCCTATCTACTTCTTATCCCTTTGATCTCTAAATCGGGAGACTCGAGAATCTAAAATACGAAAAAGTACGGTGCAATCAGCTATAATACTTTTTTTCTTTTCTTTGTTATTAAAGAATTTCTTCCTTTCTTGTAGTCACAACGACAGCCCCGACCACAACCGCTGGTACCACACCAAGCGTTTCAACCCCAAGTGGGCCGACACCCTCTGTTACAGTACCAACAACAACACCCAGTGTACCAACCACCACTCCAACTACAAGTGAGTCAAATCCTGTACATGTTGTCTTTCTAGTAAATATCATATAGTACGGACTGTTATTGTTTTTTCTTGGAAACATGCAAATGGAGTAGAGAAGGAGAGAAAGAGGCACCATTGATACAAAAAGTAATTATAAATACTTTGTGTGTTTTAGCTTGTGTGGATGCCATGCTGCCAGTGGGTGTGGATGTGTTGTCACCCAGCAGTAGCGACATTCCAACAGGCGATCTTCCAAAGATACTGACTCCTACCGGTGCCACTACCACGACGGACAACCCCACTCCCACAGTTGTATTCGACTTGAACAAAAACACGCCTCCTCGTGTTACCGAGGTCAGCGTTACTGTAACCAATGCTGATCGAGTGGACGTTGAACTGGAACAACCAAATGGAGAAAAAATAACCAAGGTGGGTTGCCTCCTAAATTTCTGTCCTTCATTTTCGTGAGAATGAATCCTGAAACTGTTAAACGAAAGTAAAATACAAATGCAATATAGGATGAAGGTTGTGTGAAATTTCCATTCTTTCTTATAGACACCAGTTATCCAACCAAGCGGAGTCGTGACAGTGAACTTCAATGGAGAAGAGGGAACAAAGATAACCATTAAGATAACCAAGAAGGATACAAGTCAACCTTCAACAGTATCTGATGTCATAGTGAAGGCCTGTACAGAAGGTAATTGTATACTGCTGTTCAATGCACCGATATATCTTACATTGTGACTGATATATTTTTTTGGGAGATATTCAACATTGTCACCCTAACAAGTGAAGTATCCTTTAAATACAGCTTAATTTCTAATAACATGTTCTTGAACCCTATCTACTTCTTATCCCTTTGATCTCTAAATCGGGAGACTCGAGAATCTAAAATACGAAAAAGTACGGTGCAATCAGCTATAATACTTTTTTCTTTTCTTTGTTATTAAAGAATTTCTTCCTTTCTTGTAGTCACAACGACAGCCCCGACCACAACCGCTGGTACCACACCAAGCGTTTCAACCCCAAGTGGGCCGACACCCTCTGTTACAGTACCAACAACAACACCCAGTGTACCAACCACCACTCCAACTACAAGTGAGTCAAATCCTGTACATGTTGTCTTTCTAGTAAATATCATATAGTACGGACTGTTATTGTTTCTTAGCTTGGAAACATGCAAATGGAGTAGAGAAGGAGAGAAAGAGGCACCATTGATACAAAAAGTAATTATAAATACTTTGTGTGTTTTAGCTTGTGTGGATGCCATGCTGCCAGTGGGTGTGGATGTGTTGTCACCCAGCAGTAGCGACATTCCAACAGGCGATCTTCCAAAGATACTGACTCCTACCGGTGCCACTACCACGACGGACAACCCCACTCCCACAGTTGTATTCGACTTGAACAAAAACACGCCTCCTCGTGTTACCGAGGTCAGCGTTACTGTAACCAATGCTGATCGAGTGGACGTTGAACTGGAACAACCAAATGGAGAAAAAATAACCAAGGTGGGTTGCCTCCTAAATTTCTGTCCTTCATTTTCGTGAGAATGAATCCTGAAACTGTTAAACGAAAGTAAAATACAAATGCAATATAGGATGAAGGTTGTGTGAAATTTCCATTCTTTCTTATAGACACCAGTTATCCAACCAAGCGGAGTCGTGACAGTGAACTTCAATGGAGAAGAGGGAACAAAGATAACCATTAAGATAACCAAGAAGGATACAAGTCAACCTTCAACAGTATCCAATGTCATAGTGAAGGCCTGTACAGAAGGTAATTGTATACTGCTGTTCAATGCACCGATATATCTTACATTGTGACTGATATATTTTTTGGGGAGATATTCAACATTGTCACCCTAACAAGTGAAGTTTCCTTTAAATACAGCTTAATTTCTAATAACTTGTTCTTGAACCCTATCTACTTCTTATCCCTTTGATCTCTAAATCGGGAGACTCGAGAATCTAAAATACGAAAAAGTACGGTGCAATCAGCTATAATACTTTTTTCTTTTCTTTGTTATTAAAGAATTTCTTCCTTTGTTGTAGTCACAACGACAGCCCCGACCACAACCGCTGGTACCACACCAAGCGTTTCAACCCCAAGTGGGCCGACACCCTCTGTTACAGTACCAACAACAACACCCAGTGTACCAACCACCACTCCAACTACAAGTGAGTCAAATCCTGTACATGTTGTCTTTCTAGTAAATATCATATAGTGCGGACTGTTATTGTTTCTTATCTTGGAAACATCCAAATGGAGTAGAGAAGGAGAGAAAGAGACATCATTGATACAAAAAGTAATTATAAATACTTTGTGTGTTTTAGCTTGTGTGGATGCCATGCTGCCAGTGGGTGTGGATGTGTTGTCACCCAGCAGTAGCGACATTCCAACAGGCGATCTTCCAAAGATACTGACTCCTACCGGTGCCACTACCACGACGGACAACCCCACTCCCACAGTTGTATTCGACTTGAACAAAAACACGCCTCCTCGTGTTACCGAGGTCAGCGTTACTGTAACCAATGCTGATCGAGTGGACGTTGAACTGGAACAACCAAATGGAGAAAAAATAACCAAGGTGGGTTGCCTCCTAAATTTCTGTCCTTCATTTTCGTGAGAATGAATCCTGAAACTGTTAAACGAAAGTAAAATACAAATGCAATATAGGATGAAGGTTGTGTGAAATTTCCATTCTTTCTTATAGACACCAGTTATCCAACCAAGCGGAGTCGTGACAGTGAACTTCAATGGAGAAGAGGGAACAAAGATAACCATTAAGATAACCAAGAAGGATACAAGTCAACCTTCAACAGTATCCAATGTCATAGTGAAGGCCTGTACAGAAGGTAATTGTATACTGCTGTTCAATGCACCGATATATCTTACATTGTGACTGATATATTTTTTGGGGAGATATTCAACATTGTCACCCTAACAAGTGAAGTTTCCTTTAAATACAGCTTAATTTCTAATAACTTGTTCTTGAACCCTATCTACTTCTTATCTCTTTGATATCTAAATCGGGAGACTCGACAATCTAAAATACGAAAAAGTACGGTGCAATCACCTATAATACTTTTTTCTTTTCTTTGTTATTAAAGAATCTCTACCTTTGTTGTAGTCACAACGACAGCCCCGACCACAAGCGCTGGTACCACACCAAGCGTTTCAACCCCAAGTGGGCCGACACCCTCTGTTACAGTACCAACAACAACACCCAGTGTACCAACCACCACTCCAACTACAAGTGAGTCAAATCCTGTACATGTTGTCTTTCTAGTAAATATCATATAGTGCGGACTGTTATTGTTTCTTATCTTGGAAACATCCAAATGGAGTAGAGAAGGAGAGAAAGAGACATCATTGATACAAAAAGTAATTATAAATACTTTGTGTGTTTTAGCTTGTGTGGATGCCATGCTGCCAGTGGGTGTGGATGTGTTGTCACCCAGCAGTAGCGACATTCCAACAGGCGATCTTCCAAAGATACTGACTCCTACCGGTGCCACTACCACGACGGACAACCCCACTCCCACAGTTGTATTCGACTTGAACAAAAACACGCCTCCTCGTGTTACCGAGGTCAGCGTTACTGTAACCAATGCTGATCGAGTGGACGTTGAACTGGAACAACCAAATGGAGAAAAAATAACCAAGGTGGGTTGCCTCCTAAATTTCTGTCCTTCATTTTCGTGAGAATGAATCCTGAAACTGTTAAACGAAAGTAAAATACAAATGCAATATAGGATGAAGGTTGTGTGAAATTTCCATTCTTTCTTATAGACACCAGTTATCCAACCAAGCGGAGTCGTGACAGTGAACTTCAATGGAGAAGAGGGAACAAAGATAACCATTAAGATAACCAAGAAGGATACAAGTCAACCTTCAACAGTATCTGACGTGATAGTGAAGGCTTGTACAGAGGGTAGGTGTTTAGGACCTTCTTTTGAATGAACATTATTTTTTGAAATTATGTGTATAGAACGTCAAGAATATATCTCTTTATACATGTTGACTCTATAATATTTGTATAATTCGATGGGAATTGAGTGGTAAATAAACTTTTAAATATTGACGAAAAGTTTTTATAAATTCATGACGTGCTTATTCTAAAAAAAATCTTCCATACAAGAACTTAATAATTGTATTTTTAGTAACATCTACAACTCAAACTACTGAAAAGCCTGGAGTTGTAACAACGACAGCATTGGTGACAACTACTTATTTCGTTACAACAACCAGTAAGTTATGTCGTGAAAATAATTTAATCATCCGTGAGATACAACTTAATGCTAGTAATATCAAATGTTTTAGCTATTTTTGACGTGATGAGATTTGTTGAATTGACATAGTGTAAAGTATCAAAAGAATAATCAATTATAGAATTACGATTGTGATACACTTGGTTGATATATCTGTATCTGCTTGATATTAAAACCTTTATCTGTAATATGATTTTTTTTAGATCTCACGCTTTCTTCTGTATAAACAAAAGGGAGATTATGATAAAGAGTCTAAATGAGTTATTCTGTAGTTTTAGCAATGTTTTACGCTTCACAGCGCCAGAGATATGTTATTAAAATTTTTTAAACCTATCACTGTTATAAGTAGTTATAAATAATATTCTTCTCTTAAATAAGGTAAATTACATTTTTTCTTCTCTTTTTGCTTTAAGATTAAAACTGAGATATATGTATATACAGTTTATTTTTAAAATAAAGTTTCAAAGAATATAAGCGTTTAACTTCATGAGTGAACAGAGATTCAATGGAAACTAAGCACTTATATAATCTATCACTCGGCTAAAACTTAATAAGATATTTTGGATTCGAAATTGAAAAACAATAAAACGATTTAAGTGATATTTTTGTCCCCCTTAAAGGTTCCGCTCCTTCTTCAACAACAGTTTGCACACAACAAGAGGGAATGGACGACGTCTCCCAGATTCCGTCTTCCAGCATAGTTTTCCCCAACAATGTGGTTTCTCCCGCTGATTTGGAAAAAGTGAGGCCTGGGAACGTTAATGGTCCATTACCAATAAAAGAAACAAGTTCAGATAAACCCATAGTCATTAAAATAAGTCTTACACCTGATGGCGTGGAGGTGGGAGAGATCAAAATCAGTCCCGATGATCTTCTACCGGACAGTTTAGTCGGTCAGAGCAACGTTGATTTCTTCACGGTCTCATACAAAAAGCCAGGAGATGATACCTTGTACCCATTGGACAGCGGGAAGGTAAGTTTTAACCATTTATAATACAAATATATTTGAGTGTTGATTGTATAACTAAAAGAGTTAATTTGAACAGGATGATTTTTAAAAAAAAAATGTTTTTATGTCATATGAATTATTTTGAAGCCAAGTAAACAAAAATTATAAAAACAAGTAGTTAAATATTTTTAAAATGCACAACATTGCTTAAAATTGAATATGATTAGGTAACAACAAACAAATACTTTGAATGTCGTAGCAAATCGAATGACGAATTCTATAATTGGCTTGTAAGGAAATAATAGCGTATTTATAAATGGCTTCAAAAGTAAATTAGACTTACATTGATGTTACTGACTTGATATATAATTATATGCGTAATACAAAACTATTGGAAAGATGGTAAAAGTTTTGAAACTTTGTTGTTTTAATAATGATTATAGGTATGAAATGATTGGTTCTAAATATTTGATCCATTAAGTTTCATGGCACTTTATTTAGTTTATTTAAATAAAATAATTTAGTGAGACAACATTTCAAAAAATTTAATTATTTTTGCTTTTAGTTTAATGTAGAACACGTGTTTGTGAAAATATGACTGGGATCGAAAACTTTTGATTTGTTATGCGAAAATAAATTCTCGCAACAAAATAATTGATTAACAGTACTTGCCTTGCACATCTAACATGAAAAAAGTTTTTAAAAGATTTTAAATTGATACGTTACAGAAGTTCCCTGTGACTGGGTCAGCTGATCTGAATGGAAAATTGGCCACTGAGGTAGAAATAACTATACAACCTGTTGACCCAACCGCTGATATTCTATTAGTGGCCTCCATCAAAGCCTGCTTTGGGGGTATGAACGATGTTTTGCATATTGTATATTGGAACTCGTTGAAACCTTTTGTTATATAATCAGAGTATTGAAGTGTAGTCTTGCAAAATATCTAAATATTTCGTAGATTTCTTTGATAATTTAGTTTTAAACTACGATCTTTTCTTTTAAATCTTCGCAAACTAGACTTGACAGTTTTAGCATGTCTCCGTAGCTTTTATTTGAAATTTGGGTCTAGAGCACATTCTGGTTACATGCTTTGCGTACAATGCACTTATTCACCAGGCATAACGACAACTCCGTTAAAAACGACCCAGGGTGGCTTTACACTAGCCCCTGTGTCTTCCGCTTCTACTTCGTCATTGGAAACGACAACTGTGCCTACTGGAACAACAGGTGCCGGAGCCTTCACGCCAGGTACTATATCCTACACTCCTGCTACTGCAGGAGCACCAAGCCTGCCGTCGTTATCATCTACTACTCTTTTATCTACAGCAGGTATTAATTTGTATATCTAACTTGATTTTCTTTCTAAACATTTACTGTCTTGAATTCTTTAGCGTGACCACTAACTTATAATATCCTATGGCTAAAAGGTATCATTAACTTAATAAATTGATATCCTTTCTGGTATACTCACAAAAAAGACCATATGATAAGCTCTAATAAGCTGAAGTCTGAGCAGAGTTATTGGAATTTTAGCATTATTTTATTCCAGAAAAATGTCTCTATTTTTTTTTAATTCTCAGTATTTTCTAGAGGACATATCGTTTTTGTATAAGAGAGAGAGAGAGAGAGAGAGAGAGAGAGAGAGAGAGAGAGAGAGAGAGAGAGAGAGAGAGAGAGAGAGAGAGAGAGAGAGAGAGAGAGAGAGAGCAATTGTAATCAATATATATGGAAATGCTGTCATAAAACCCTCTATTCAGATTTTGTTGTGTAATGCAATACATGTAATATATATTTTTTGGTTTATATAAAGTTATTTGGATAAAATATTCATTAAAAGTCCCAATTTCTTTCATTTTTTTCTTATAAAAAGCGTCTAAAATACACAACAATCTAAAATAATGCAAATTTAATTGTTTTTTTAATGAAGTCCCTCAACTCTCTCCCAAGACGGGGTCAAAACATATTTATAAATATTGAAAAAAAAAAAATCAACATTTTTCGCGAGAAGTGTGTCGGCTTTGCGGTCTTTAGAATTTGCACAACTGTTGCATCTCCCACCATCCATCTGAAAAATAATTTAAAATCCTATATTACATGTTTATACCGCAAAAATATACAAATGATGTAAACAATTTGCAATTCTTAAAAATAACGTTTTGGAATCCTTATTGTAACATATCGATTGTGAAATACGACGTTTTGACGCAAGGGGAAAACAGCTGTCTCATGATCTTCACAACCAACTAGATTTTGTTTAATAATAATTAATGATTTGTTAAAATTAAAAAAAAATTGAAAAAAATAGTTTGATTGGTAGTTTTTTTTAGATTTAAAAAAATAAAACTCTTTTCATAAGTATATAAAAAAATGTTTATCATTTTATTTACTTAGAAAAAAGGTATTTTTTGCAGCAACTTGACACAGTATTTTAAGACATTTCATACACAGAGTGTCTTGTGTTGTAAAGCTTCATCTTTGGTTTAATGTTCCGTACCAAAAAGAGTTCTATAATCATACGATCTCTTTATTTTTAATTATGCATTTTGTTTATTATGTATTGTTGCATAACAAATTCTCAGTTTCTTTTTTTAAATTACAGCTGCAACAACAACTGTTTCATCGACAGGTAAGCAATGTTTGAATCATTACTATATTAATGTTACTATTTTGTTCAACTATATATGTTCAAAGCACAGAATACTCATGTATGCAAAACAATACAGCTACAGTGTACTTGATTTTGCTTAAATTAATTCACCCATTTAAAGAGAAGTCGGAATCAACTGTGTTCTCTATAATTTCAAAATGAACTGTGGTATAAAAATCAAATTGGTTCTTACATTGCGGTCTTCTTGAAAATCAACAGCAAAAAGTTGTAAAACAGACTGAAAATTAGCTACCATTTCTGAATCACTAGTTTGAAACAGAAAATCAGGACATTGAAAGCAAAATCGCTACAAAATATTTAAAGTTCATAATAAAGAAATTATACCTTTATGTTCCTAATCAGCGATGCTTACTTTGGCGCTAATTTTTAAAGAGCGGAAATTTTGTGCTGATAATGGTAACTCTGATGTAAAGCAATTTACCTATTAAAACCAGCAATAGAACTTCAGTTGCCGTCGCATTAACTCCCTCACCCTAACGAACTCTAAATCAACAATGTTTACGAAATAAATCCCTTAATGTATTCAATGTATTATAAATATATATAGTTTTGTACTCTATTTATTTTTAAACAAGGCTGCAGTTTTATTGTCTTATAAAATAATTACTTATTTACAAGCGTTTGATTATTGTCCAATAAACCAGTTACTTGCATGATGAATTTTTCTTTAAAACTATGGGCAGCACATCTGTTATTTAGATAATGTAAAAGTATTTTGAACTTAATACAAATCTCTCAGTGAAAACATACAATACATCTCTCTTTACGAAAATATGAGTTATAATAAATCATTTAACAAAGATTTTTTTTTAAAATTCTTTTTTCAAGGGTAGGTTACTATGCAAAAGCATACACGATGCAAATGGCTGGATTCTTATATGCTATTAGGCGTTTGAATCTTTTACTTTCACCTTTATCTTATGATCAATTGATATTAAACTAGTTTAAAATGATTCAGTATTTTTCAATATTTCTTCAACATATTCGTACAAGGAACGATTTTAAAAAAACCCAGCTCTTTATATATGTATATCTTACAAATATCCCCTTTATCACTGTTGAATTCTTTCACGATTTGATTTGATTTGATTTTGTTTTATGTTTATATCTGAAGCGGCAACAACAGAATTGACAACAGTTTTGCAAGAAAGCCCCCCAACTCCACCCCAGTTCACACTTCCTACACCTGGTATATTATTGATAAAGCAAGCGCAGCCGCTTTTTCAGCTAATGCAATATTCAGCTTAAAGGACTTATTGCATGTATCTCATATTATAAAATTTCAAACATAGTATGTTCATAGTGATCACAAGTATTTGAATAAACTGAGGCTATACCGAGGTAATAAAACACGATTCAAACTGAAATAATTTTTTTAGTTAAATGGAATAAGTGTAGATGGACTTGACCATGTAACGTCAGTGGCGACAATAGCTATCAGTTGTTCATGTTAATGCTTTAAAGCACCCAATACAACATGTTTTTTCTGTATTATGACGAACAATTCACTGATTTTTTTTTTCGATAAGAACGTCGGAATAAAACCTGAAATGTTTGAAATGTCACCAATAGAAATTTTGCAAATTTGAAAACACTGTAATAAAGCAGGGAAGATAGCGAAGGAGAAACTACAAAGACAAAGATTTTGTTTTTCCATCTTATCACACGTATCAACTTATTTTATTTACAAAATTGACACTAAATAGATCTTTGTTAAATTCTTATGAAAGTAAAAAAAAAACTAATAAATCATAGCTTCCTAGATTGTGTAAAGGGTGGATGTCTCGAATAATAATTTCTCTATCAAAATGGTTGTCTCTAAAGAAATACTAGGTATGTATGGTTTGAAAATGGTACGAAATTCTTTCACAGTATCTTTTTTAAATCATAGACTGCGATTAAAATGGAAATTGGAAAGATGAAGCGTGCATAAACAATTAATATTATTATCTTACTATGTTCCCCGACACAGCAGTTAGTAATAAATAATCCATAATGAATGATCATACACTAGAACTAAGTCATATTTCTGAAGTGTGTAAAGTGCACTAGGGAATTTTTATAATCATTCTGTCTTTAATATCCCCGTTTGCAAGTTCTGAACTATCTTTTATTAAGATGTTGCCCATGACGTCAAGAAGCATGGTATCAAAATTGTTTAAGCATAAGCATATTCCCGTGTTCTATGTGTAATGCTCAATATCGCTATTCTGTGTTCAGAACGCCGTTTATTGTATTCGTAATTTAATAAACAAGTTTATAAATATTATATTTAATAAATTTACAATACAAAGATCATGCAGTAAGTCCTTTGAATGCCTTCCTGCGTAGAATGATATTTTCAGCGTTTGACTGGCAGATAATTAGTTGCAATTCTTAAATTCACCTTTTCCTACACATAAGCTTCCAATACATACAGCGAAGTGAATTTTCCAAGCTAACAACTCTGTATTCCTACTTATGTAATATTCGGCGCACTTGCTCTTTACTTAAATCACTAGCGTTCACTTTCTGTACTTGCATTAGGTGCGCTAAAGAACACACTTATATCTTTATTTAGACAGTTGCACTTAGAGAAAATATTCTACAGTTGCAACTTTGTGTTCCTTCTTTAGGGGAACTATAGTGAAAAGAACCACATTCAACGGCTCTACATTTTGTTACTTAATACTTCTTTTTAAAATTTATCTATGTTGCTCTTTTTTCAGTTTTAATTTTACAAGGGATGGAACAATTTTTTTTAATCCGAAGACAGCTTCAGGTTTTAGATTTCAGGCGAGACGATTTTTTTTATAAGGCTTTGTTTACTCTAGATATGGGTTACAAACTAGCTCATTTGTAACTTCAGAACAAATGTCCTTTTAAAAAATGTTAAAAAATGAAATAAAATAATGTAATAAGCGGAGAACAAAATCGTTGCCTTTCCCCGTATAATCTCAGTAAATGCAATTTATCCTCTCTTTGACTTATACATGAACTAAAAAAAACGATTTATTTAGACATTTAATAGCTTAGGAATGTTAACGATGAACAATATGATAATGAAAATATAATAGGGAAACGGAACTTATTAATTCATTAACTTTACATTTTACTTTCTCAATTTATAGGACTTTCAACAACAACATCTACATTGTCGACGACAGCAGGTGAATACTCATTTCCATCAAAAAAATTATAATTGCTATACTTTGTATCCCAAAAGGTAGGCAAAGTCAAGTCCACGCTTATTAACAATTACATTGTATATATTTAGGAACAACCACAGGTACCCCTCCTACAATATCGCAACCTACAACAACGCAAGGACAGACACCGTCTACAACCTCAAGTACCAGTGGCACAACAGTCAGCATCCCATCTACTCCGGCTACCAAAGTCACTACCTCGTCCTTTACTACCCCATCTGGTTTGACTATTTTATTATTGATTTATTATCAGTTCGTTGCTGAAGAATATTTTCGATAATTGCAGTTATTTGTGTCATGTAAAGTGCATATGTATAGCTATGAACAGTAGATGAATGCATACTATATATTTCTGTAAATCTAAAACGTAACAATTCTCATCAGCAGCTGTAAAATTTTAAAATTTGTAATAATTTATCATACTGGAAGCTGAGAAATTGATCTTTTTGAATAGGTCTGCTATTAGAAATGATCAAATGAAAATGAATTTAGGCGGAAATCCGGCATAACAAAGAGATATAACAAGAATAATTTTTGGGGAGATTGAATTCTATACAAACCTTTGTTCTTTTGAAGAATGTATTTTCAGAACATTCTATGAAACTATAAGGTCAAAAAAAGTACTTTATATTAAAATTTAAGCTTCCAAAGACCATATCAAAAAAATATCTCCGTTTCAAATATTTTAGGAAGTTCAACAACAATAAAAATCACCACACCGAGCGTGACCCCGTCCACAGGAACGCCGAGTGTCACGCCCTCAACTGGCACACCAAGTGTTACTCCATCAACAACAGGAACTCCAAGTGTCACTCCATCAACTGGTACCCCAAGTGTAACACCTTCAACTACTGGCACCCCAAGTGTCACACCTTCAACGGGAACACCCAGTGTCACTCCATCCACTACAGCAACACCAAGCGTTACGCCTTCAACAACTGGAACGCCAAGTGTCACACCTTCAACAGGAACACCAAGTGTCACTCCCTCAACGGGAACACCAAGTGTCACTCCATCAACGGGAACTCCAAGTGTCACACCCTCAACAGGAACACCAAGCGTCACTCCTTCTACGGGAACTCCAAGTGTCACTCCCTCAACTGGCACACCAAGTGTCACACCTTCCACAACAGGAACACCTAGTGTGACCCCGTCCACAGGAACGCCGAGTGTCACGCCCTCAACTGGCACACCAAGTGTTACTCCATCAACAACAGGAACTCCAAGTGTCACATCAACATCTCCAACTGTCAAGTACCCCAAGTGTAACACCTTCAACTACTGGCACCCCAAGTGTCACACCTTCAACGGGAACACCCAGTGTCACTCCATCCACTACAGCAACACCAAGCGTTACGCCTTCAACAACTGCAACGCCAAGTGTCACACCTTCAACAGGAACACCAAGTGTTACTCCCTCAACGGGTACACCGAGTGTCACCCCCTCTACGGGAACTCCAAGTGTCACACCCTCAACAGGAACACCAAGCGTCACTCCTTCTACGGGACCTCCAAGTGTCACTCCCTCAACTGGCACACCAAGTGTCACACCTTCCACAACAGGAACACCTAGTGTGACCCCGTCCACAGGAACGCCGAGTGTCACGCCCTCAACTGGCACACCAAGTGTTACTCCATCAACAACAGGAACTCCAAGTGTTACTACATCAACAACAGGAACTCCAAGTGTCACTCCATCAACTGGTACCCCAAGTGTAACACCTTCAACTACTGGCACCCCAAGTGTCACACCTTCAACGGGAACACCCAGTGTCACTCCATCCACTACAGCAACACCAAGCGTTACGCCTTCAACAACAGGAACGCCAAGTGTCACACCTTCAACAGGAACACCAAGTGTTACTCCCTCAACGGGTACACCGAGTGTCACCCCCTCTACGGGAACTCCAAGTGTCACACCCTCAACAGGAACACCAAGCGTCACTCCTTCTACGGGAACTCCAAGTGTCACTCCCTCAACTGGCACACCAAGTGTCACACCTTCCACAACAGGAACACCTAGTGTGACCCCGTCCACAGGAACGCCGAGTGTCACGCCCTCAACTGGCACACCAAGTGTTACTCCATCAACAACAGGAACTCCAAGTGTCACTCCATCAACTGGTACCCCAAGTGTAACACCTTCAACTACTGGCACCCCAAGTGTCACACCTTCAACGGGAACACCCAGTGTCACTCCATCCACTACAGCAACACCAAGCGTTACGCCTTCAACAACTGGAACGCCAAGTGTCACACCTTCAACAGGAACACCAAGTGTTACTCCCTCAACGGGTACACCGAGTGTCACCCCCTCTACGGGAACTCCAAGTGTCACACCCTCAACAGGAACACCAAGCGTCACTCCTTCTACGGGAACTCCAAGTGTCACTCCCTCAACTGGCACACCAAGTGTCACACCTTCCACAACAGGAACACCTAGTGTGACCCCGTCCACAGGAACGCCGAGTGTCACGCCCTCAACTGGCACACCAAGTGTTACTCCATCAACAACAGGAACTCCAAGTGTCACTCCATCAACTGGTACCCCAAGTGTAACACCTTCAACTACTGGCACCCCAAGTGTCACACCTTCAACGGGAACACCCAGTGTCACTCCATCCACTACAGCAACACCAAGCGTTACGCCTTCAACAACAGGAACGCCAAGTGTCACACCTTCAACAGGAACACCAAGTGTTACTCCCTCAACGGGTACACCGAGTGTCACCCCCTCTACGGGAACTCCAAGTGTCACACCCTCAACAGGAACACCAAGCGTCACTCCTTCTACGGGAACTCCAAGTGTCACTCCCTCAACTGGCACACCAAGTGTCACACCTTCCACAACAGGAACACCTAGTGTGACCCCGTCCACAGGAACGCCGAGTGTCACGCCCTCAACTGGCACACCAAGTGTTACTCCATCAACAACAGGAACTCCAAGTGTCACTCCATCAACTGGTACCCCAAGTGTAAACCTTCAACTACTGGCATCCCAAGTGTCAAAAACCTTCAACAACAATTGTCACTAAAATCCATACAAAACCAAGCGATTTGCCTTCAACAACTGGAACGAAATCATCAACCTTCAACAAAACTTACTAAAGTGTTTTTTTTTCAACGGGTACAAGTGTCACCCCATGACGGAATAAAGTGTCACACCCTCAACAGGAACACCAAGTGTGACGTCCTTCTAAACCTTGACGTAGTTTGTATGTAGTGAGAGGCAGATCAAGTGAAATTTCCTCAACAAAAAATATATTCTATAATTAAATAAGATATTAATTATAGAAATTTTTTAGAACATTTACTTGGATTCAACCCAGTCACTCCATCCACTACAGCAACACAGTATTCTGTGCGATTTTATTAATATATTTTCTGTATATTACCATTTAATCGACACTGCCGTATATTTGTGTGCAACCCCGTCGGAGGGTAACGTGAGGGTCATAAATCGACCTAGGAACACCAAGGGCTTTCACTCAATGGAATCATGTCAACCTTTTACTGGCACAGCCAAGTGTAATAAGGCAGCAGGAAAAGTGCACGATCCTCACAGGAATGAAAGTGTCACACCTTTAAAATAATTTAATTACTTCAATATTTCATGCCGTTGATCCGCAAAAAATACAGCATTCGGTCATACAAAATAATTTCAATAATTAAATTTAAAAAGGATCGCAGCACTTTTCAGAAACTACAATGCGTGTTGAAAATATTTATACACTAAATTTGGAGGTTTAGCTTGGTTATGCCCTTGCACTAGTGAAATTTATAGGTAAGGTCAATGCTGGAAGTAAATGTGCTAAAATCACGTGACTACCGCATCACGTGACAAGTCTAAATATAAAATCTAATCGTCCTCAATATGTAAATATTAACCATCATGACAATTATTGGATATAAATAATGTACTCAAAATAATCGCCATCCGGATTATGAATACATTTTTAACTACAAAATATTGTTGATATTTCCATTGTGAACCTTAACTGTATGACGAGTCACTCCCTACACAGGTACACCAAGTGTCACCCCTTCCACAGGAACACCTAGTGTCACACCTTCAACGGGAACACCAAGTGTCACGCCAAGCACTACTGGTACACCAAGTGTCACACCCTCAACAGGTACCCCAAGTGTTACTCCATCAACCACTGGAACACCAAGTGTAACACCCTCAACAGGAACACCAAGTGTCACACCATCCACGGGTACACCAAGCGTGACCCCATCCACAGGAACGCCAAGTGTTACACCCTCAACGGGTACACCAAGTGTAACGCCAACAACAGGAACACCGAGTGTCACTCCTTCAACAGGTACACCAAGTATCACGCCTTCAACTGGAACACCGAGTGTAACACCTTCCACAGGCACACCTAGTTTTACACCCTCGACAACAGGTACACCTAGCGTCACTCCCTCGACAACAGGCACACCTAGTGTAACACCTTCTACAGGAACCCCAAGTGTTACGCCAAGTACTACTGGTACCCCAAGTATCACACCCTCAACAGGAACCCCAAGTGTTACTCCATCAACCACTGGAACACCAAGTGTAACACCATCAACGGGCACACCAAGTGTCACACCATCCACGGGTACACCAAGTGTGACCCCATCCACAGGAACGCCAAGTGTTACACCCTCAACGGGTACACCAAGTGTAACGCCATCAACGGGCACACCAAGTGTTACTCCATCCACAGGAACACCCAGTGTCACTCCGTCTACATCAGCAACACCAAGTGTAACACCTTCAACAGGAACACCAAGTGTCACACCTTCCACTGGAACACCAAGTGTCACTCCCTCTACAGGCACACCAAGTGTCACTCCTTCAACAGGTACACCAAGTGTCACACCTTCGACTGCAACACCGAGTGTCACACCTTCCACAGGAACACCTAGTGTCACACCCTCGACAACAGGCACACCTAGTGTCACACCTTCAACGGGAACACCAAGTGTCACGCCAAGCACTACTGGTACACCAAGTGTCACACCCTCAACAGGTACCCCAAGTGTTACTCCATCAACCATTGGAACACCAAGTGTAACACCCTCTACAGCAACACCAAGTGTCACACCATCCACGGGTACACCAAGCGTGACCCCATCCACAGGAACGCCAAGTGTTACACCCTCAACGGGTACACCAAGTGTAACACCATCAACAGGAACACCAAGTGTAACTCCTTCCACAGGAACACCAAGTGTCACTCCCTCTACAGGTACACCAAGTGTCACTCCATCAACAGGTACACCAAGTGTCACGCCTTCGACTGCAACACCGACTGTCACACCTTCCACAGGAACACCTAGTGTCACACCCTCGACAACAGGCACACCTAGTGTCACACCTTCAACGGGAACACCAAGTGTCACGCCAAGCACTACTGGTACACCAAGTGTCACACCCTCATCAGGTACCCCAAGTGTTACTCCATCAACCACTGGAACACCAAGTGTAACACCCTCTACAGCAACACCAAGTGTCACACCATCCACGGGTACACCAAGCGTGACCCCATCCACAGGAACGCCAAGTGTTACACCCTCAACGGGTACACCAAGTGTAACGCCATCAACGGGCACACCAAGTGTTACACCATCCACAGGAACACCGAGTGTCACTCCGTCCACATCAGCAACACCAAGCGTTACACCTTCAACAGGAACACCAAGTGTAACACCTTCCGCAGGAACACCAAGTGTCACTCCCTCTACAGGTACACCAAGTGTCACTCCTTCAACAGGTACACCAAGTGTCACGCCTTCGACTGGAACACCGAGTGTCACACCTTCCACAGGAACACCTAGTGTCACACCCTCGACAACAGGCACACCTAGTGTCACACCCTCGACAACAGGCACACCTAGTGTCACACCTTCAACGGGAACACCAAGTGTCACGCCAAGCACTACTGGTACACCAAGTGTCACACCCTCAACAGGTACCCCAAGTGTTACTCCATCAACCATTGGAACACCAAGTGTAACACCCTCTACAGCAACTCCAAGTGTCACACCATCCACGGGTACACCAAGCGTGACCCCATCCACAGGAACGCCAAGTGTTACACCCTCAACGGGTACACCAAATGTAACGCCATCAACGGGCACACCAGGTGTTACACCATCCACAGGAACGCCCAGTGTTACTCCGTCCACATCAGCAACACCAAGCGTTACACCTTCAACAGGAACACCAAGTGTAACACCTTCCACAGGAACACCAAGTGTCACTCCCAGTACTACTGGAACACCAATTGTAACACCATCAACGGGTACACCACAGTTTACGCCATCAACAGGTACACCTAGCGTCACACCTTCAACCTCTGGAACACCAAGTGTTACACCATCTACAAGAACGCCGAGTATTACACCATCAACTGGTACCCCAAGTCTAACATCTACAGGTAAATTCTTTTATCTGATTTATTTTCATATCCTGATCCCTATTGGTGTATTTTACATTTACCATATTTATGTGGCCGGGAGTGAATTCTTTTTTGACAATACCGTTTTTCTTGTTATTGCAATTAAAGTACCTTGTATATACTTTCGAAACTTACCATTTACATATAATTATTTTTTTCAGAGTTTCTTCCATATTTTGTTTTTGCTTAAATGTTACAATCTTTAGATCTAAACTATATATAGGGAACTCCTAATTTGAAGATAAAAGTAATATTTCCTCCCCTTAAAATCGATTTAGAAGAGGTATGAATAATGTAGCTAAATATCAAGGTTGAAAAAAAAAATTGAAAAAGGACTGTCAAATAAAGCTTATGAAAAATTTTACGTTTTGTTTTGCTTAGCAGCAAAATTGAATGTTGTTTGGATTTCAATAATTTTTTTAATGCTATAGAATCCAATTAGTAATATTCGATGTTTTATTGATCAAAAGGTACGCCAAGTGTTACTCCCTCAACATCTGGAACTCCAAGTGCCACTCCCTCAACTGGAACTCCAAGTGTCACACCATCGACTGGAACTCCAAGTGTCACTCCCTCAACTGGAACTCCAAGTGTCACGCCATCAACTGGAACTCCAAGTGTCACTCCCTCAACAACTGGAACACCAAGTGTCACTCCCTCAACTGGAACTCCAAGTGTCACGCCATCAACTGGAACTCCAAGTGTCACGCCATCGACTGGAACTCCAAGTGTCACGCCGTCAACTGGAACTCCAAGTGTCACTCCCTCAACTGGAACTCCAAGTGTCACTCCCTCAACTGGAACTCCAAGTGTCACGCCATCAACTGGAACTCCAAGTGTCACTCCCTCAACTGGAACTCCAAGTGTCACGCCATCAACTGGAACTCCAAGTGTCACGCCATCAACCTCTACAACAGCTACATTCACACCAACTCCAACCCCAACAGGAACATCGCCAAGTACAACTGGTAATTATCGTTTAAAATAGTAAGAAAAATATTCTTGGGCCATTATAAAATCCTGAGAATTATTCTGTGCAATTTGGACTTTAAAGCATAAATGCTACAATTACATGTAATTACATCAATGAAAATAAGAGGGAAAAATTTATTTGGATATTTAAAAGAAATTATGTAATTTAAATATCAGTAACATTCAAGATTTAACCCTCCCATAATAAAGAATAGTCAGTATCTTCATTTTCTATTACAAATTGCACAACAAAATTGTAAATTATATATTGGATATCAGACAAAATTTTTACGGAAGACTAAGTGCTTCACGTGACATTTTTATACAGTGGGAAATCCTTGTCTGGAAGTTAATGGAATGCTTGATTCAGCAATAATACCAAGTGACAGTATTACGTTGAGTGAACCATCACTTCAGACGGAGGTCGACAAACTCAGAACAAATGGGCCACTTGTAGTACCAGTTGCAATTACAACATTGACAATTACCATAGACTTGCCTGGAGATGTTCAGTTGGGTTCTATCAATCTAGGTGCATCACCCAATGTTAGAAAATTCGAGGTTTCTTTGAAGAAATCGACAGATAATGCGCCAACTTTATACAAGGTAAATGTAATTTTTTTTCTTAATTGAACGTAACGTCCATAATGCTAGGATGTTTCAAGGGACCTTTAGTAGTTTCTTTATGTTTTAATTCATCTATCTATTACAAATTGATACTTTCAACACTATTTTTATGCAAGGGTCACATGTAATTGTCTTTGCGTCTCTACCTCTTTTAAGGAGCTACTCCTCTGCAGTTTCACTGTCATACTTAGACCACGAGAAGATTATTATTTGTTTGATTTCAGTGCATGTTGATTCCACAGATAAATGAAAAAAATTGTGAAAAAAATCTTTGAGACACTACTAATTCTTGAGATTTATTTCTAGAATGTGGAACACAAAACGAAATCTCGAAAATACCCCCTTTTTGCTTGCAGTTACTTTAGATGAGTGGTTTTGCAAAATTTACCAGGAAAAAATTTTAAAGATTCTATTTTCGAAAAGCCTGAACAAATATTTTATCCTGAACTCAGTTACTTGAAGTTACAAAAACAAATGATTTACGGGTATGTCATACATATGGGACAAATAAGTGAAAAAAGTTATACGAGAATATAACAACTTTTCAAATAACACCCAGTTTGAAGTTCTATTTTTGCACGCCTGGGCGAAAATAAAGTAAATCTTTGGTTTTTGTCGGTTAAACACTGCCGTATCGATTAGTTTTATTGACATGTTGAAAGGGGAAATAGCTCATTTTTTCTTTTTCTTTTTTTGCAAAGTCGAAAAAAAATTCAAGTTATTCTTCTTTTCGTATATGCTGAGAATGACATTGTTTTTAGATTGAAAAAATATATATTTCCTTTAATTTACGATTTTGCATTAGCTTTTAAATAAATGTTTGAAATAACGCTATTTAAACTCTTGAATAAATATTATATATTTAATATAAGAGATCAAAAATTATGAATTAGAATTATAAAATTGTTGAATGACTGACAGAGATATCAAATGCTGCTTCTTATTTATTGAAATTGGTGGATAATGATAGATACAAAATCATATTCTTAAACTTTTTTGCTGAATTGTGAAATGTAGATACTTATGCTCAATCCTCCATGGCACCTGATTTCACCTCTGATGTTTTGGAGGTCCGTGTTTGCTCTGCTCCTATTTTGTATTGTTTTATGGAATTGAACACTGTTCGTTTTCTCCATATCCTTAGCTATAGAAATTTCCAAAGAAAACATATATAGCCAATTTACGACTAAGTAATTAAGTGAAAGACTGGTTCAAATCATAGCTCAACAGCCAAGATTGGCCAAAATTTACTTTTGGTTAAGTTGTGTCTGCTCTCGTCTAGCTTTAAAACTCAGATCCAGAAAAAGTGGTATACAAATACTTTTTAATCTGTAACTCAATGAAAGTATCTGATGTTTCTTCATCAAAGGAAAAATCAAATTAAGACAAAAGATGAAAAGCTAATTCTTAACAAGAATAAGATAGATTCAGATTATATTGGTAAGTTAATATCATGTAATGAGACTTTTTAAAAATAAGGTTCTTATCTTTAGATCTATATACCCATTTTCCTTGTTAAGTTTTGAAACAAATATTCCAACATGATAAAATGAAACCAGGAGGTTTGCATATGTAACCAACAACTCATCTTATATTACAGGAAGTCACCGACTCGAATTCCTTACTGTTCCCAAGTGGAATTGAGGCAGACCAAGTTGTTATTACCCTCTTAGAAAAGAACGATGTCGCTGTGGGCTATCAAATCCAAATTGATCTACGAGCATGCTTTGAGATTGGTAAGTTATGATCGCATATTGATTACATATTTAGTTTATGAAATACTCGAGTATAACCCTTGAAACACTCTTAAAATTTTAGATAGATATTGTTTTGATAAATAATATGTTTTGGGCATTTTATATGAGAACAAAATTTGGTAGTTATTGAGCAACCTGTATTGTTGTTTTGAAATCTTTTCGATGTATATATGTTTGTTTAAGTTCATAAGATGAACAGGAAATTAAAATTCATTTTTGCAATGGTTAGGAGAAACAAAACATTGTGCCCATCATTAATCTCAAAATAATGTAAAACACACAGAACTTTTCCAACTCCATGTATTAAACTACGTTCTGAATGTACGAATGCGTAACGTCATTAGCATAGAAGCAGATTTTGTTCCAAACATTTATATATAATATTCAAGAGAAAGCTGTAGGAAAAATTTCAAAAACGATGCAAACTATTGATAAACAAGTAAATGATACCTTAATGATCACAACTTTCATACTTGTCGATAAAATATCTTTGACAGCATGCACAATTTAAGAGGAAGTCGACTACCGTATATACTCGCCTATAAGTCGGTATTTTGGGAATTAAATTTTAGTCCAAAAGTCTATATCGACTTATAGGCGAGTTATAAAAAGACATGTATTTTTCTGGATGGCGAATCGTAGTATTCTATAAATATTTTCAACAGCTATTGTTGAACAAAGTAAGGATGTATTATATCATTTATGTATTATAAGATAATACATTAATAACATGTAATTTATATACATGTATTTAATTACTTTATTTTTTTTTTATCTTAAGAGGGCCTTATTTATTTTTTGATATTAAAAGTTAAATATTGACTTCATTTCTAGAAAATTATTCTTTGAAATCAGGGTAAAAACTTCAATGCATTTATTAGAAATAATCATCTGATTCTGGCAAAAAGTTGTACCGACTTATAAGCGGGTCAATGGCAAATCCTTGCCAAATAACCTCAAAAAACATTTCTCATTCTAATTGTTGAACCAATATAAACACACTATATTGTCTACGATATTTTTTCGTTTGCCAGAGCATGACAAGGAGGGATAACTCATGTGACTAGGAATGCTTTATTCCTCGTGACACCGTATTTGCTATGAATTATTTAGCTTGTTTACTGTTTGTTATTTCAATCCTTTGCTAAATTTAAATATATCTCAATTTCAAAGGTAAAAAAATATGTTAACTAAGGTATTTTCCACAGGATCAACTAGTGTACAGCCACAAACATCACCGCCATCAACGACCTCAATAACGACAACTCCAATTGAATCAACACCACTAACGTCAAGCACAGTTGGGACAACTCCAAGTAGCTCAACACCAAGTGGATCAACACCAATTGTTACAACACCAAGTGGAACGACACCAAGTTCATCAACCCCAAGCAGTCCAACTCCCAGCGGACCGACACCCAGTGGAGTAACCCCTAGCGTGACCACCATCAGCACGCCGCCGTCTACACCAGCAACCGCAGTTACAACTCCATCAATATCAACTCCTTCCTCTGGTAAGATAATCTGCCTTCAGTTCAGTAGTTTGCAAACATAGCGAAAATACTTTTTCAGTAGTGGTAAACATTTAACTATTTGCTTGTTATTAGAAATTTTCATTGTTATATTAAATGTTATCCAATTACTAGTATAAATGTACAAAATAAATTAAAAATTGGATTATATTGAAAAATGTTCGTTTTTCTAGCATGCTCTTTTTTTAAATGAAATTGCTATTTTAAAGCTGTTTAGAAATTTTAAATTTCTGATTATAAATAATACAGTTTACATAGGGAATTATTTTTTCATGCAATTAATTGATTTTTTATGGAAGGGACATAGAAGGTTTCAAAATAAGATTATCTTTTATTGAACATGCAAGTGTACTAAAAACAGTATAATATGAAAAAAGTTTCTTCCGTCCTGTTTAAAAATATATCAATACAAGAAACTAAAAAAATAATTTCACAAGCCCTTACAAATTATACCTTTATCGCTATGTGTAGGGACAATAACTCAGACGGGTCCTACAACTCCAACTACATCTCAAGGACTTCCAACAACAACAGTTGTTTCATCCGTCGGAACAACAGCAGCTGCTGGTTTTACACCCGCCACTATAACTTATACACCTGCTACTGCTGGAGGGCCAAGTCTTCCTCCTCTTCTGTCTACTACTTCGCCTTCAGCAGGTATTCTTCAACTTTAAGGAATCCATTATATTGTATGATACGGGTCACTTCTGAATAAGGGTTATGAAATATTATGTAAGAATAAAACGTACTTTGAATTGTTTGATCAAAACCTTCAATATGCATCAATGATTGATAATGCGAACCAACTCAATGCTAACTTCGAAAGAAGATAATACAGGATACAAAATACCTTATATAAAAGCACTTTTCATTTCAAAATGTCACACCCCTTAAAGAGTGTTTGACTGGTCTCTTTAGTGAAGTTATATAACTTATGCTTGTACATTGATTTTTTTATCATCATTAAAACAATCAAATGTTTTATATTTCCCTACAAAATAAAATTGTCCGCCCGTTTGTATATATAAAAACGCAAAGTCTCAAGCGTTTAATCAAAATCATTTCCGAATTCTTAAGAATAAACAAACCGCATTTGTGGATACTAAGCAACTCGCAAATATTACTTATGTTTATTACTCTCATTAGGACACAACTTACTAGACTGCAAATAAACATTAAGGTTGCAGTTCATATCTGAAAATAAACTTTATCTCTTAACTGAAAGGGCAGATTAAGTCATTTCATATACCACGTTTCAAACATTTTCTAAACTCTTAGGTGTAGAGTACGTATTATCAAAATCAACCCAACAAAAATTTTGATATCGTACTGGTACTGCACTCAGTAGAATTTACAATGAAACCTCGTAAAAAACGCACATTAGACATATTTACAATGCGCCTTTTCTAATTTCATTATGTTTCAGTTTTTTAAGATCATGTATTCCTATTCACTCCATTTGCAGTGATGGAATAAACTGACTGCGTCATACTTTTTACCACATTATTTGATTCTACAAGTTTTCAGTTAGATAGTTTGAAAAAACATCTTCGATATAACGTATATATGAGAAATGTTGATGGTATGTATCTTCATTTTACCGCTTTTTGGAAGTCGATACAATACCAAATGTTTCAAAAAATGAAGGACCTAGGTATAAATTAAATTCCAGCCCGATGACACAGAAACATGAATGAAATTTTGAATAAATGGAGAACAGACACATGAATTACAAAAAAGGTTTAAATGCCTTTTTAAAGGATTTCTTTCAGGGTAATTGCATAAATAACAAAACATGCATTTCATACAATATTGAAAGTCACAAAGGGGCAGTCTTTAAAAAATGTCTTCATATTCAAAGAGTTTACAATTTTTAAATATTTCAGCTACAACAAAACAAACAGTAACGACACCAAAACTTTTTACTACAACAATTTCAACTAGAACGCCAAGCGTTACACCTTCAACGGGTACACCTAGTCTAACGCCATCAACCACTGCAACACCAAGTGTAACACCTTCTACAGCAACACCAAGTGTCACACCATCCACGGGTACACCAAGCGTGACCCCATCCACAGGAACGCCAAGTGTTACACCCTCAACGGGTACACCAAGTGTTACTCCATCAACCACTGGAACACCAAGTGTAACACCCTCTACAGCAACTCCAAGTGTCACACCATCCACGGGTACACCAAGCGTGACCCCATCCACAGGAACGCCAAGTGTTACACCCTCAACAGGTACACCAAGTGTAACGCCATCAACGGGCACACCAAGTGTAACACCATCCACAGGAACACCGAGTGTTACTTCTTCAACATCAGCAACACCAAGCGTTACAACCACAACAGGTACACCAAGTGTCACTCCTTCAACAGGTACACCAAGTGTCACTCCCTCAACAGGTCACTCCATCAACATTTACACCAAGTGTCACGCCTTCAACTGGAACACCGAGTGTCACACCTTCCACAGGAACACCTAGTGTCACACCCTCGACAACTGGCACACCTAGTGTCACACCCTCGACAACAGGCACACCTAGTGTCACACCTTCAACGGCCACACCAAGTGTCACGCCAAGCACTACTGGTACACCAAGTGTCACACCCTCAACAGGTACCCCAAGTGTTACTCCATCAACCACTGGAACACCAAGTGTAACACCCTCTACAGCAACTCCAAGTGTCACACCATCCACGGGTACACCAAGCGTGACCCCATCCACAGGAACGCCAAGTGTTACACCCTCAACAGGTACACCAAGTGTAACGCCATCAACGGGCACACCAAGTGTTACACCATCCACAGGAACACCGAGTGTCACTCCGTCCACATCAGCAACACCAAGCGTTACACCTTCAACAGGAACACCAAGTGTAACACCTTCCACAGGAACACCGAGTGTCACTCCCTCTACAGGTACACCAAGTGTCACTCCATCAACAGGTACACCAAGTGTCACGCCTTCGACTGGAACACCGAGTGTCACACCTTCCACAGGAACACCTAGTGTCACACCCTCGACAACAGGCACACCTAGTGTCACACCCTCGACAACAGGCACACCTAGTGTCACACCTTCAACGGCCACACCCAGTGTCACGCCAAGCACTACTGGTACACCAAGTGTCACACCCTCAACAGGTACCCCAAGTGTTACTCCATCAACCACTGGAACACCAAGTGTAACACCCTCTACAGCAACTCCAAGTGTCACACCATCCACGGGTACACCAAGCGTGACCCCATCCACAGGAACGCCAAGTGTTACACCCTCAACAGGTACACCAAGTGTAACGCCATCAACGGGCACACCAAGTGTTACACCATCCACAGGAACACCGAGTGTCACTCCGTCCACATCAGCAACACCAAGCGTTACACCTTCAACAGGAACACCAAGTGTAACACCTTCCACAGGAACACCGAGTGTCACTCCCTCTACAGGTACACCAAGTGTCACTCCATCAACAGGTACACCAAGTGTCACGCCTTCAACTGGAACACCGAGTGTCACACCTTCCACAGGAACACCTAGTGTCACACCCTCGACAACTGGCACACCTAGTGTCACACCCTCGACAACAGGCACACCTAGTGTCACACCTTCAACGGCCACACCAAGTGTCACGCCAAGCACTACTGGTACACCAAGTGTCACACCCTCAACAGGTACCCCAAGTGTTACTCCATCAACCACTGGAACACCAAGTGTAACACCCTCTACAGCAACTCCAAGTGTCACACCATCCACGGGTACACCAAGCGTGACCCCATCCACAGGAACGCCAAGTGTTACACCCTCAACAGGTACACCAAGTGTAACGCCATCAACGGGCACACCAAGTGTTACACCATCCACAGGAACACCGAGTGTCACTCCGTCCACATCAGCAACACCAAGCGTTACACCTTCAACAGGAACACCAAGTGTAACACCTTCCACAGGAACACCGAGTGTCACTCCCTCTACAGGTACACCAAGTGTCACTCCATCAACAGGTACACCAAGTGTCACGCCTTCAACTGGAACACCGAGTGTCACACCTTCCACAGGAACACCTAGTGTCACACCCTCGACAACTGGCACACCTAGTGTCACACCCTCGACAACAGGCACACCTAGTGTCACACCTTCAACGGCCACACCAAGTGTCACGCCAAGCACTACTGGTACACCAAGTGTCACACCCTCAACAGGTACCCCAAGTGTTACTCCATCAACCACTGGAACACCAAGTGTAACACCCTCTACAGCAACTCCAAGTGTCACACCATCCACGGGTACACCAAGCGTGACCCCATCCACAGGAACGCCAAGTGTTACACCCTCAACAGGTACACCAAGTGTAACGCCATCAACGGGCACACCAAGTGTTACACCATCCACAGGAACACCAAGTGTCACTCCGTCCACATCAGCAACACCAAGCGTTACACCTTCAACAGGAACACCAAGTGTAACACCTTCCACAGGAACACCGAGTGTCACTCTCTCTACAGGTACACCAAGTGTCACTCCATCAACAGGTACACCAAGTGTCACGCCTTCAACTGGAACACCGAGTGTCACACCTTCCACAGGAACACCTAGTGTCACACCCTCGACAACTGGCACACCTAGTGTCACACCCTCGACAACAGGCACACCTAGTGTCACACCTTCAACGGCCACACCAAGTGTCACGCCAAGCACTACTGGTACACCAAGTGTCACACCCTCAACAGGTACCCCAAGTGTTACTCCATCAACCACTGGAACACCAAGTGTAACACCCTCTACAGCAACTCCAAGTGTCACACCATCCACGGGTACACCAAGCGTGACCCCATCCACAGGAACGCCAAGTGTTACACCCTCAACAGGTACACCAAGTGTAACGCCATCAACGGGCACACCAAGTGTTACACCATCCACAGGAACACCGAGTGTCACTCCGTCCACATCAGCAACACCAAGCGTTACACCTTCAACAGGAACACCAAGTGTAACACCTTCCACAGGAACACCGAGTGTCACTCCCTCTACAGGTACACCAAGTGTCACTCCATCAACAGGTACACCAAGTGTCACGCCTTCAACTGGAACACCGAGTGTCACACCTTCCACAGGAACACCTAGTGTCACATCCTCGACAACTGGCACACCTAGTGTCACACCCTCGACAACAGGCACACCTAGTGTCACACCTTCAACGGCCACACCAAGTGTCACGCCAAGCACTACTGGTACACCAAGTGTCACACCCTCAACAGGTACCCCAAGTGTTACTCCATCAACCACTGGAACACCAAGTGTAACACCCTCTACAGCAACTCCAAGTGTCACACCATCCACGGGTACACCAAGCGTGACCCCATCCACAGGAACGCCAAGTGTTACACCCTCAACAGGTACACCAAGTGTAACGCCATCAAGCACACCAAGTGTTACAACATCCACAGGAACACCAAGTGTCACTCCGTCCACATCAGCAACACCAAGCGTTACACCTTCAACAGGAACACCAAGTGTAACACCTTCCACAGGAACACCGAGTGTCACTCCCTCTACAGGTACACCAAGTGTCACTCCATCAACAGGTACACCAAGTGTCACGCCTTCAACTGGAACACCGAGTGTCACACCTTCCACAGGAACACCTAGTGTCACACCCTCGACAACTGGCACACCTAGTGTCACACCCTCGACAACAGGCACACCTAGTGTCACACCTTCAACGGCCACACCAAGTGTCACGCCAAGCACTACTGGTACACCAAGTGTCACACCCTCAACAGGTACCCCAAGTGTTACTCCATCAACCACTGGAACACCAAGTGTAACACCCTCTACAGCAACTCCAAGTGTCACACCATCCACGGGTACACCAAGCGTGACCCCATCCACAGGAACGCCAAGTGTTACACCCTCAACAGGTACACCAAGTGTAACGCCATCAACGGGCACACCAAGTGTTACACCATCCACAGGAACACCAAGTGTCACTCCGTCCACATCAGCAACACCAAGCGTTACACCTTCAACAGGAACACCAAGTGTAACACCTTCCACAGGAACACCGAGTGTCACTCTCTCTACAGGCACACCAAGTGTCACTCCATCAACAGGTACACCAAGTGTCACGCCTTCAACTGGAACACCGAGTGTCACACCTTCCACAGGAACACCTAGTGTCACACCCTCGACAACTGGCACACCTAGTGTCACACCCTCGACAACAGGCACACCTAGTGTCACACCTTCAACGGCCACACCAAGTGTCACGCCAAGCACTACTGGTACACCAAGTGTCACACCCTCAACAGGTACCCCAAGTGTTACTCCATCAACCACTGGAACACCAAGTGTAACACCCTCTACAGCAACTCCAAGTGTCACACCATCCACGGGTACACCAAGCGTGACCCCATCCACAGGAACGCCAAGTGTTACACCCTCAACAGGTACACCAAGTGTAACGCCATCAACGGGCACACCAAGTGTTACACCATCCACAGGAACACCAAGTGTCACTCCGTCCACATCAGCAACACCAAGCGTTACACCTTCAACAGGAACACCAAGTGTAACACCTTCCACAGGAACACCGAGTGTCACTCCCTCTACAGGTACACCAAGTGTCACTCCATCAACAGGTACACCAAGTGTCACGCCTTCAACTGGAACACCGAGTGTCACACCTTCCACAGGAACACCTAGTGTCACACCCTCGACAACTGGCACACCTAGTGTCACACCCTCGACAACAGGCACACCTAGTGTCACACCTTCAACGGCCACACCAAGTGTCACGCCAAGCACTACTGGTACACCAAGTGTCACACCCTCAACAGGTACCCCAAGTGTTACTCCATCAACCACTGGAACACCAAGTGTAACACCCTCTACAGCAACTCCAAGTGTCACACCATCCACGGGTACACCAAGCGTGACCCCATCCACAGGAACGCCAAGTGTTACACCCTCAACAGGTACACCAAGTGTAACGCCATCAACGGGCACACCAAGTGTTACACCATCCACAGGAACACCAAGTGTCACTCCGTCCACATCAGCAACACCAAGCGTTACACCTTCAACAGGAACACCAAGTGTAACACCTTCCACAGGAACACCGAGTGTCACTCCCTCTACAGGTACACCAAGTGTCACTCCATCAACAGGTACACCAAGTGTCACGCCTTCAACTGGAACACCGAGTGTCACACCTTCCACAGGAACACCTAGTGTCACACCCTCGACAACTGGCACACCTAGTGTCACACCCTCGACAACAGGCACACCTAGTGTCACACCTTCAACGGCCACACCAAGTGTCACGCCAAGCACTACTGGTACACCAAGTGTCACACCCTCAACAGGTACCCCAAGTGTTACTCCATCAACCACTGGAACACCAAGTGTAACACCCTCTACAGCAACTCCAAGTGTCACACCATCCACGGGTACACCAAGCGTGACCCCATCCACAGGAACGCCAAGTGTTACACCCTCAACAGGTACACCAAGTGTAACGCCATCAACTGGCACACCAAGTGTTACTCCATCCACAGGAACACCGAGTGTCACTCCGTCCACATCAGCAACACCAAGTGTAACACCTTCAACAGGAACACCAAGTGTAACTCCTTCCACAGGAACACCAAGTGTCACTCCCTCTACAGGTACACCAAGTGTCACTCCTTCAACTGGAACACCGAGTGTCACACCTTCCACAGGAACACCGAGTGTCACTCCGTCCACATCAGCAACACCTAGCGTTACGCCTTCAACAGGAACACCAAGTGTAACACCCTCAACGGGAACACCTACTATATCAACCTCAACATCTGTTACTCCAAGTTCTGTAACCACTCCTATTGTTACTTTTAGTACAACATCCACTTTAACGCCAACACCAAGTGTTTCAGTGTCCTCTCCTATTACATTAGGTATTTTTATGAACCCTGTATTCTGAATGAATTGAATAAAATTTTATTCGAGAAAAGTTCTGAAATTTTTATTACATTGTTTCTTTTGGTGTTATTTTGTTTAGTTACAAATATCTGCAATTTCAATTACTTAACAATTTATTCAAACAACTTTTAAATTTAAGAAAGATGAGTATTCAATCCTTATAATATATGGTTTTTTTTTAATTGATGCTTTAAATTTTTCTTCATATCTAAAGGTATATTATATAAAGCATGCATAATAACGTGATTGTTTTTACGTTTTCTGATTTTTTTTTTAGGTTCCACTACCAGTACAAGGGTAACAACAGTCACTGTTCCAACTTCACCAACAACAGTACAACGTATGTTCTCTGGGTTTTTTTTGTGTATATTTTTTTCTCTTTTTAGATTTAAGTTTTTGTTTGATGTATATGTGTTTTTTTTTATATACTTTTAAGCCTGTGTAAAAAGTGTACTGACCTACGCCAATGCTGGAACTGCTTTGACTGTGTCTCCCGTGGATGCTGAATTTTCTTTGTTGAATTCTGGTGGTACCTACAGCTACCCACAATCAACGATATTATACAGAATAAATGACGATGCTGCAAAAATATTTTCTGTCAAGCTTACTGTGAAAAATATTCAAAGTTTTACTGTTGATATATGGTCTGGCGAAAATTTAATCGGTTCAACGTCAACGGTGAGTAGCATTTGTAAATATCTAATACATGTACTATTAATACTATAAACATCGACAGCCTATTCTTCAGAGATAATCTGGTAAGTGAAATGCATTGACATGTATTTCATCAACTATTCTGTGGCATTAAGGAATTTCTTTTGTAATATCGTACAACTGAATCAATATAAAAATGATTAATTAAAAAATGTAATTTACGCCGCAATTATTTTTGAAAACCTTTCTGGACGTTTTTATGTGTGTGCAGAATGTTGTGGACACAACCTCGGCAACTCCATATACAATATCACTTAATGGAACGACTGGGAATGATGTCAGTGTGAATGTTGTACCGGTCCCAGGTCAAGTCATAGACATTTCTGCTGTATCCATAGAGGCGTGTTATTCTCCAGGTAATGTACCTATATCATTGTTAATAATCAGTCATCTCAATAAAAATGTATCAAAAACAAATAACTATTCAATATTCATTTTTCAGTGTTTAAGTGCATTTTTGATCATATGTATCTTTTGTTTGCGATCATTTATAATTTTTCTAACCAGATCAGGAAATGAAGAAAAAATGTTTCCGTGTCATCTTTTACTTAACAATGGTTTTAAAAAAAGTTTTTTTTCCTTAACAGTGACAACAACAATCGCTCCCACAACAGGTAATTGAATACAATATCCATTGAAGCTTAATTAAAGCTCTCAAATGAGCTTATAAGAAATCTTTCTTAAATAGAACAATCACTAGTGATAGTTAGATTTGTTTTGTTAAGTAACAAAAAAAATTAGAACAGAAGAATGCCTTTCATAATTCCTCAATGATGATAGCCAAGAATCTAAGCAGGTAATGAATCGTGAAAGTTTTTGTAATCATCAATGACATTTTTTCTAGTTACCCCAACAACAAAACCAACGACTCCCTCCACCTCAACGCCAACTACAACAACACGTAAGGTTATTTCATATATAGGCACAAAATTATCTTGTCGATATATATGTATTTTTTCAGCAAAAAATCTAAAAGAGATTTCTTTTATAAATGTAAAGCTCTCAAATGCTCAAATTTTGAAATGAGTAACCAAATATATTACATTTTTTTATATATATTACAGCATGTGTCGAGACGATGATTGCTCAAGGAAGCAACACAAATGCAATCAGCATTGTCCTGCCAAGTTTGACATCTCCTTTAAATATCTTAAGTGGAACTGGAGTTTCACTTGTTGAGCCCACACCAAAACTGGAATTTATCCTTCTTGATCAGGACGAGTCGTCTGCTGTGACAACAGTGACTTTTGATACTACGAACGTATCTAAGGTCAAGGTCACTTTGTTGGACAAAGACAACACAGAAGTGAAAACTACAGAGGTATTTTGATTTACGGAATTGGCTATTTTTAATAATATGCTTGAAGGGAAGATTTACATGATTAAAATAATGTAAAATATATATCAGTTTGCATTGAATTTGAACAATGAAATTTTGTTTTATAGAACACTCCAATTGGTAATAAGATTACTGCGAACCTTGGTGGATCCGAGGGACAAAGAATAAGAATTGAGCTTACGAAATCTACATCAACGCAGGGTGTTACCATATCTTCTCTTATTGTTAGAGCCTGTATAGAAATAGGTAAGTTAAGAGAAAAATTACCAAATTTCGAGTTGAAAATATAAAAATACCTAAGACCAGTAGTAAGTTACAATGCCTGTAGTGTTTCTAGTGATCCATGTTCTTGCTCAATTTACGAGTCGTGTTTGTACAAAATTTATGATTTTTATCATTAATCGTTTACTACATCTTTTCCATAACAAGTATTCGGAATGTTATTTAAAAGAAATATGACAGTTAAATCAACAAAAAACAACTTACCTGAAATTTTCAAATATAAAGATAAGTCTTTTGGTTTCAAGAGTCCTAGCTAGTCCTAGGTGAACTAAACCATGAAATTATACACATAACTTGACACATTTAACTAATAATAGGTATTACGTTTGGTATATTAACTTCCCATGGTCTCCATTTGATTATTTTTTTTACTGTCTTCTAGTTTCCTCTACAACAACAGTCGTTACTTTGCCCACCACCACCTTCCAAACCACCACCGCAAAACCATGTGTGTTCAACAAGGAAGTATTTGTTCAAAACTTTGGGTATCAACCTGCTGACGTCATCGGTTACGTCAATAAAGATAATGATGACTCTGTTATCTCTGAGTCCGAAAAGATTTACGTTGGTGACTCTTTAGATGACGGTGTTGTGGTCATAATTAATGGATGTAGTAACTGGTATGTTATTTGTTTGTGTTGACAAGAATTATTGTAAAAAAAAAAAACCAGTCATCTTTGCAAACACAATATATACACTTGACATTTTACACTTGTTGTGCTGATTTCAAAGCTGGTTTCATAGATTTTAGATATTTGATATTTTATTATTAGAAAATATTGAAAACAAATCCCTAAGTGATAACAAGCAAAGACAAAAAAGTTAAAACAATATTTATCAGGATATATTTATGCATGTATATTTTGACATTTAGTTCCTGTACTGATGGATATATGAACTGTCAGATTGGATCTTGTGAAGGTAAGTGAAAACAAACCTGTCGACTTCAACATGTTAATTTCATTGAAAACAAACCTGTCGACTTCAGCATGTTAATTATATTGAAAACAAACCAGTCGGCTTCAGCATATTAATTTCATTGAAAACAAATTTATCGACTTCAGCATGTTACTTTCATTGAAAACAAACCAGTTGACATCTGTATGAAAATTTCATTGAAAACGAATTTGTCGAAATCAGCATGTACATTTCATTGCTTTAGTTTAGTTTAGATTCTAATGGTAACAAATATAATTTTTAGAATGCACATACCAGTCATGGAGTGAATGGTCTCAATGCTCCAAACCTTGTGGTATTGGTCGCCGAGAGAGAACTAGGATCCTCACCACCACTCTTACTCCAGATCACTGTAAAGAGACATTAATAGAAACGGAGGATTGTAATACTGAACCGTGTCCAAGTGAGTTACTTCTGTGTCCCTCAAGTCTGTTACTTATGTGTTAAACGAACAACAACACATGTAGTTCAAGAGAAATCACTAAAAACTACCCTACTAGGAGAATTCCTCCAACACAAACGACACTTGTTCAAGACTAAGCGCTGAAAATTACTTTAGTGGGTGAATTACTCAAACACAAAGATATTTATAGAGAAACCACTGAACTTGATCAAGTGAGTGTATGAAAGTTAAAGTTAAAGTTAAAACATTGAATGTTGACCAAGTGTGTTTATTTTTCTGCCACAAACAAACTTTGAAGTAAAAAAGTATGGGTATGAATCAAATGAGTAACATAATATGATTCCCTAAATTCTTTTTAAAAAATCTTAGAAAGGATGTTTCGTAACCTTTTGAATTATTTAAATAAAATATTTTTACATCTTATATAACTCTTTTAGATAACAAAGTTTATAAAACTTTAAATTATTTAAAGTTAAATACATCCACATGTTTAAATAGTTACTGTAAAAAACACCCACTTTTATTTGTAAGCTCATTACTTGAATAACTTATGAACATTCCTGTTATTATATGCCAAATTGACCTCGAACATTCTGAAATGATTTGTAGCAACCACCCCAGTTTGTGAGGCCTGGTCCGAATGGTCCGCGTGCACAGCTGTGAATTGTAAGCCAGGAACAAAGTCAAGGACAAGAGATTGTGCAGGAAATATGGACTTTGAAAACGAGGCTTGTTTCAAACTTGATGAGAATTGTACCAATGGTAATTAGTATGGAATTTTCTGTAGTTACTTTGAATGCCTCAAAGATTATACATAATTGTCATGAATTGCTTAATAGCTGAATATTTAATTTATGCAAATGCTTTGGAAAACCTCTTTGAATACAACGATAGTTATATTTTCTCTCTTGATAATTTTTCTTATTTTAAAAAGAAATTATATGTAGTTGACCTTTAAATAAGAAATGTGTTGTCGTTATTATATCTTGTACGGTGGTTAAAATCATTTTTTGGCGTATTAATAATATAATACTTCAAGCAATATTTACAAAAAACTCATCATCAATTTAACTGAGGAACAATAAACTTAAATATCATAATAAATTAAGAATTTGTATTGCATAATTACAATTATCTACTTACTTCAGATTCACTAAAATTCCCTTGCATGAGAAGTTAAACAGCTGTATTGATCTCACATTATAAGTTTTAAAATACCATATACTATTCTTTTTTAACAGAATGAATCTTTTATCCAATATCAAGTTAAATGCAATAAACTTTTATTCGTTTAGTAAACTGCACTGAGAATGAGGAATACGTGAATTGTTCTGGAGTTGTAACGAATTGTCCATTAACCTGTCTGGATCTGCGCAATCCCGGAAGCTGTGTGGAACCAGACGACTGTCAGCCGGCCTGTCACTGCAAGCCTGGTTACGTTAAAAACGATGACGGCATATGTGTCAAGGAAGAGGAATGCCCATGTTACCATAACAACCAACCCGTACCGGAAGGTCACATTATCAGCACTTCTAAATGTGAAACATGGTCAGTGTAAAGTCTCTGATTTACGGCTATTTAAAATTTTAAAATAATTTATCATTGGCATAGACATATGTATTTTGATGAACACTTCCTTTTTGCCTCCTTGATTCAACCTGTTTTAAATGAAGTAAAATATCCACGAAACATTGTTTGAGCTTTGGTTGTTTTTCTAAATTCATTTGGGTAATATCTGCTACCTAATTATTTATTGAAATCGTGACAACTGTTTACCTACAATGGATGATATCTTTAATTTCAGTAAATGTGAGAACAAGCAAATGTCGTGCTCAGTCAATGCCTCTTGTAAGTATTCCACTACACAGTACTAAGACTGTGAATGATTAGCGATATTCTTGTGCAAAGTTCAACTTTCCAAATCTTCCCAATACTATTTTTGGTGTTTAAATGTAAACGTTTATTCTTTTCTTTTACATTCGCTATTGTAATAAATATGAACTAAATATTCATTTCTTGATTTTTATATACTTGACTTTAGGACTTTAATTTTCATTATAGTTTTCTTTTAAAAGTATCTCAATATGTTTCATAAATTACTGAATTTATAATAGCAAAATCCTAATCGTTATTGGATTAATTTCTTTCATGAATATTATTTGCCAAGAAAAGAATTTGCTAAGTATGTAGCTCATTGTTATGTATTGTTGAAAAAATTTGCTTATTTTCTAAAGTGTGTGTGTATTTGGACTTGCAGGCTGTGAGTACACGGAATGGCAGACCTGGTCAGAATGTAGCACTACATGTGGAGCCGGAACACAGAGTCGCTACAGGTATTATAAACCTGTATACTATATATATAATAGACAGGTGCTTTCCAAGTAACTTAATTTCTAATGACATAATTACCTTCTAAAATGAAAACTTGATGTGAAACAATGTTGCTAGTGAAGAGAACTTTTTGATTTGGCGTTACAATACATTTTGGATTATATATATGTAATGAACCTTTATAGACAGTGACAAATAATGTTAGAAATGACGCTAAGGGGTATTTTATTCAAATCAAACGTTTGATCCGTGAGATTTCTTACCTCTCACAAGTCTTTGACTTTACTAGAAAGAAATTAAAAAAGCTTCTTTTCAAATGACTTATTGTGTACGAAATGCACCACTGAAAAAAAATCAATTTTAATTTTTTATAGGGAAGTCAAGAAAGGAGATGCCGGTAACTGTCCAGATGTTCATGAAACCAAGGGATGCGAATCCACTGCCACAGAATGTGTACAGTGTATCTACCAAGGAAAGACATACGCAGTAGGCGATATTGTGTCATCCGGAAATTGTGAAATATGGTCAGTTTACAAGACAAAAAGATATTTTTAAAAAATTTTTTTAGGACCTTTTCTAAACTTGAGTTTTATGTTTAGATCTTTGTCCTTAAAAAAAATAATTTTTAAAAAAATGTATACAGCTATTAAATATCCCATTCATATTATATTTTTAATGTATTTTTAAAAAACTCTGTGTAAGGATAAAATTTGACCAAAGTTTTGTTTGTTTAAAAATGCTATAATTATAAAGATATATTTTAATCTTTTATGCAGCATTCTTTATTTTGTATTCTGAATGAGGGTAATATTTTTTTTTATAAATTATTTATTTGACAGCTACTGCTACAATGTAGGAAACGTCATGTGTAAACCAGATCCTAAACAAGATGGTACGTATCATAGTAGAATAAATAAAAACAAAATATATGACAAAAATTTAATTATCTTGAAAGGCATAAATGAAGAAATAAATCTTTCTTTGATTAATCTGAATTTTCAATATATTTTTTTAATTACACTTGTAGACTTTGATAATTTAATTATCAGACAATAGTAATATCGGTGGGGTAAGTTTCGCCTGTATATTATGTACCTGATTGGTTTTTTTCTCTCTCTAATTTTTAGTAAATGGCACTTGGTCATCATGGCAGACGTGGAGCTCTTGTAGTTCCACCTGCTCTGGAGGTCACAAGAAGAGAACTAGAACATGCAACAACCCCACACCTTCCTGTAACGGTCTCCCTTGTAGTGGCTCAAATGAGGAGACAGGGCCCTGCAATCAAGACATATCTTGTAAATATGGTTAAATAGAATATAGCGTAACGACAATCAAATGAATTGAATGATAGCTTATTTGTATTATATGTAATGCACTGTGTCATATGCTTAAACGGTCAAAACTATGGATTCCACTTTTTGTTAATATCGTGAAAGAATATATCATATATTTGAGATGATTGAGTGAGGTAAAATAATTTCTCCTCAGGTTGTATAACCACCCCATGGAGCGAATGGACAGACTGTACTAAGACTTGTGATGGACCAGGAAAGCAGTTCAGAAACCGTCAGTACGTGGATCCAGCAGATGCTAATGTCTGTAACGAAACACTTGTGGACGACAAGGACTGTGGCACCGACCCATGTATTAGTAAGTCCATCATTATTTAGTCTCCGTAACACGGTAAAAATCACCATGCCCGTCAGTCTGTCCTGTGCATATGTGAATGAAATTACTTCGTGTTTCAATTACTGCTCCTCGTTACGCAAATTATTCGAGAAATATCCACATTAAACTTGCACGGAGGCTCATATACATAAATGCTTATCGTATTTGGTTTTTTCGTAGCATGAATTTAAGCTCATTAATATCATACAGAACATACACTGTACGGTTCAAATTTGCTTTGATTTTTGCAGCTGAATGCGAGATATCAGAGTGGTCGGCTTGGACAGATTGTGTTGTACCATGCGGAAAAGGCAAAGTTACAAGAGTTCGTCAAATTATTGTAAATGCTACAGATTGTCCCAAAGATCTGAAGGAGGAGAAGGACTGCGACAATGGAGACTGCAGTACGTAAACAGACACTCATGTTGTCACGAGTATCATTTTTGGTATTCTAAAGTCTTAAAGAAACAAAACGAAAATATTTTAATATATTCCATTTTCGCATATTCTATTAAGAGATTAAGCATAAACCATCTCCTATTTCAAGGATTTTGCCATAAACTTATTAAACTCATTCTTAACTACTCTGATAAAAAGATTAAAGATATTGAAAAACGCAGAAAAAAAATGTTTTTAAATATCAAAGGTAATTGTAACTGTGTACCTTGCAGCTTGTCCTGATGATCAAATATGGTCTAACTACTCACTGTGCCAACGAACATGCGAGACCCGGGACAAGAACATTGACGATCTGTGCAATAAGATTGAGCCGGGCTGTGTGTGTCCAGCAGGACTTTACATGGAGAACAATAAATGTGTCAATATCACAGAGTGTCAGAAATGTGTCATTAATGGCACCGAATATCAGGTAGAATATTTAAAACATCAAAATTTACTTTATAGTTTAGAATGTATAGTTAACTGAAAATGCAAATTCTATAATCAGAACCCGTATTGAAATTTATAATCATTTTGTGTAATTTTTTTCTACAAACGATCATAAAATGTAATGTACTAATTTCTCATAAAATTTAACGCCAACATTTATTACTACCGTTCATTGAAGACGATACCATTCTAATTATTTTCCTAATCAAAATGTGGGAAGGGGATACTGGAAAACGGATACTAAAAGCATGAATATGCTATATAAAGTTTAACTTCCAGTACCCTTGGAATGAGGGTGGTAATTAAAAAAAATTTATATATATCTTACTCAAAAATTATATCTTACTCCCAATCGTTCATATTGTGCTTTTCTCATAAAACCCTGTGATAAAAGATTTTATGAGAAGCCACACCTGTATACTGTATGTGCCCCACAGTAATAAGTTTACCTGTTGTTTTACCAGCCCTCGGAGCCTATTCCTTCCCCTGACTCCTGCCAGTATTGTGAGTGTTCTGACGGGGAGATGGTGTGTAGTCGCCGCTGTGAGATACCCGTCTGTCCAGAGGTAAGACTCGCGTGCATGTTCCCAAATCATCCATTAGAATAATGGTTTTTATGATTTTCTGTTGGCTTAAATAATGACTTATATAACTTGTTGTTTATTTTACAAGGGAGAAGAGCTTTCGTACGAAGGTGTTACAGATAGCTGTTGTCCAAGATGCAAACCAATAAAAAGTAAGCTTTTGGAACTGTCCCAAAGGATTATGTAATTCGAAGTAAGTTATATACAAAAGAACCATGCATTTTAAAAACTTTCCATTTTCTCTTTCAGCAACATGTCAACTTCATACAGAAAAACGAGTCATCAACGACGAGAAAACTGGCTGTGTGTCTGTTGGTGAAGTAGAGTACACCTACTGTTCTGGCTCGTGTGGAATCTCTAAGTACATGCCCACCATTGTTCCTACGGGATCAACAGAAGACGGCTTCGACAAGACCTGTAAATGTTGTACCGGAGAATCTGCCGGGGAGAAAATTATCAGTGTTAGGTGCGGCCCTGAGCAAACTCTACAGGAAGCCAAGATTAAGATCGTCAACAAATGTAGCTGTGACGTGTGTAGCCTGACAGGTCAGTCCGAATATTAAAGCGGCTTATTTTTGATTTTGTGGAACTGGTTGAAATGGTCAAAATGTACGAATTAAGATTTGCTTAGATATTAAGCATTTAATTGAAAGAAAATTTTCTTCTTATGTAAGAGAATTTTATCTGAATTATCATCGTCATCATCATAATCATCATAATTATCATCGTCATCTTAATTATCATTGCAGAGAGTGAACAGAACCAAGCGTATGGAGCGCCAGGGAGACGATAGAGACAATTAGTGATAATTAACATTTTACAATTAACTCACTTCTACAGAAGACCACAAATGTTTGTTAAATGAATTTATAAATATTATATACATATATATTTTATTGTTTATTATGAGATATCTATTAAAAAGTATGCAGGTTTACTTTTGGAGTTTCGTTTTTTTATGTGTTTGAAAAGATAAGTGTTGGACACAGATGGAGTACTGGATTAGTTCGTTTAAATCTCATTTCTATTGATTTGATGTTAAAAAGTTATTCTACAAGTTGCAAATTATCAAATCCTCTCTTATGGAGTGGAAAAAGTAAAGATAACAAAGACAGATAAAAAGCCAACACCACCAAATCCGTGCATACGGTATAAAACACGGTCCCCAGAATTTCCGGTGGTAAGATCAGGTGCCAAAGGAAGGTAAGCTTCCCCTACGAAGCGGACACGGGCCAAGAAACAGTGACTTAAAAAGATGAAATCCGTATAACCTCAACTTGTTTGTCAGCAGTTTGTCTCGGTCAGACGGTTTCAAAATTGATCGAACATGCTCTTGTCTCTTGAGTATCGGAAGAATTGGAATATACACTCACTCCATATGCAGGTGAAAGCGCAATAATATGTTTGAACAGACATTGTATTCTTTGAGATTTAAACGCTGGCAAAATTGGGCATGAAAATGTTTTGGTAAAAATATCGCAAAGGTATTCTCACCATGTCAGAACAGTCTCTCTCTCTCTCTCTCTCTTAGACCAAAAGTTATATAATCTGAGAAATATGTTGTTTTTAATTTTGGCCTTTCATGCAGGAAGTATGTAAACAATGACTGATGTATCAAACATAGTAAACAAAGTGTATGTCTTTTACTGACAAGGGTGGAACTATCATAATAAGATTCCTACCAAAATAATTGTTCCTACATTTTCGAAAAATAAAGACATGTTTGATAAACCTAGCTACTTTTATCACTGGATAACAAACATTTGGTAAACAAGCCTAATATTAAATTGAAATATTCTTACACATTATATTCACTACGAAAAAATAATAACCTGTCAAACGCAGGAAGATAATATATTTTGACTAAGAGATGGCAAAAAAGATGTGGAAATACGAGGGTTGATCCAAAAGTAATGTCACAACTTTGATAAAATTGCTATAAATCGACGTAATGCAACAAAATTATACATGATGAAAGCTTTATTTATTTCAAATCAGATCTGAAAAAAATCAAAGGAATATAATGGACAGTTTCCAAAATATCGTACGTCAGGGATATAGAGGATGCGATGTTAAGACGATAAGAAATTCATAGCTATTATCTTCAATATGACTGTGTTATTGGCATAATAACAAGAAACGTCACAAAAGAAAAGATGAAAATTATGAGACATCAAGGGATTGCGAAGCAGAGGTGTGCATATTCCAGAAATGTCTCATCTCACTGAATATTGTGCACTGACTACAAGACAAAAACAACCCATCAAAGACATAATAATCAAACATTAATTTCTATATGCAATATACGTCCCGATAAACTGTTTTTTCTATCAAGAAATTCATCTTCGAAATCATTTTAACAATTCAACAATCAATTAATTAGTCAAACCCCGCTTACATATGAGTATTCAAGTCCATTTTTGCCATGGGAAATCCAACAGTTCATGATCAAAAGAGCACACAAAAATCCACATAGGTACTATGAAACGAAGATTCTGTAGAAGTCATAAAATTATATATAGTGATATGAGATGCTGCAAATAAGAGATGAAAGTTCCAAATATTATACAAGATTGGCGGTGTCAATTCTTTGAAAGTGTCCCTTTTTCTCTTTTTTTCTTCTCTCTCTCTCTCTCTTTCTAGGAATAGCTAGTTGCGGTAAAGAGATTTGGGTACACACAAGTGTTATGGAAGTACAGCGTCATATACAAATTTGAATTTTTCGATTAAAATTCGTATATGACAATTTGTCATACACAAATTTTAATTGAAAAATTTAATTTTTGTAGAGGACAGTTGGCAAAGATGTTCAGCTACGTATACAAGTACATGTACACGAATATGGACCGACACCCAATCGCGGTGTACCGGTACATGTATGTACATGTACCACCCCCTGCTTTTCAAGCTCAGGGGTGGTGTGAGTGGGAAGGTGATACGGGTGTTATAATAAAGATTTCCTATATTTCGCAAGAAAGGCATCTTTTCTTTAAGACTTTAGGAAAAATTAGAACATACATGTACTTTTTTTTAAAAATATTTTTTAATCGGCTAATGACTATTTCTAGCATTTGTAATAACATAGCCCCACTTCCTTTTCTGCAGCTGACGTTTTGACTATTGATCAAGAAAATTGGGTAATGTGATGTTGAAAATATAAAGCTTGATTATAATTTCATTTCAACATACCGAGGTATTTGTTGCATGCGATTTACATACATGTATGTACTAGTGTTGGCAAATCGGACGATTTTTAGTAACCGGTTACTCGCTCAATCTTCCGATCGAGTACCCGGTTACTCGGATGATTTATTCATATGTATCATTTATCTCATCTTTTACTCATCGGTTCTAATAAAATACAAAGGTATTGTGAATTAACTTTATTTATCAACTTAAAAAGAACACGCACGAAATATCTTGAATTTTAAATATAATTATAATCAAAAAATTAATTAAATAGAAGAAAAAAAAATTAATGTTTCACGCTATTTTACAATGGCGTTCATCAGTTTTACTTTTCAACCCCCGATATACATGTATGTCACGCTCAAGGGCAATAATAATTTAGAAATTTGAAGTCACGATAACTCCAGTTCACATTAATTACATTTTACAGGTAGGGAATCAGCTGTTCTTTAAAAATACTTCCAAGCTATACATGTACATGTCTTTGGCGGTATCTTGTTAAATTATTTAATGAGGTTATTATAATATAGGTCTTCAAATCTTGTATAACCTGCTGGCAATCAAAGCTATCAATTAAGTGTGAAAACTGATCAATCGTATTAGTGAAACCATAAATCATTAAGTCTAACGGTAAAGAAAATTAGAGAAATATTTATTTGTACGCTTACAAAGAAATTAATATTTTATATTTCAGTTATTTACCCTATAAGATGCATTTTATCCGAGTAACCGAATAGCAATTTTACTGATACTCGCATCGTTCGACGGTTAAAAACTCGTTGCCAACACTAGTATGTACCCTTAGAAAAAACACATTCGAAGACCCAAAATTACATATTTGATTGGGGGAAATGGATGTAAATAAAAACCTGTCCAATTGATATCGGTATTGTAGAGTAGGATTTTCTCCCATAGCCAGCTTTCACCCCAGAAATCGTACTCTAAAATAGGATTTCTCCCTGAGGGCAAATCTCACACCAGAGTCAAATTTTCCCCTCCTTCTTTCTCAGAGTAGGATCTCCCCCTCGTCATAATCAATATAAACCACAGCCGGAACACTTTTGAAAAAAAATTTATTAACGACAAACTGATTCTTAAAAGGTAATTGACTGGTGTTTTTTTTTTTCATTTTATGTTGTTTGAATTTTCTAAGCATATATTTCAAATCATGGAATTTCAACCAAAATATATAGCTTTCAAAAGAAATGTAAATACATGTATTCTCAAAATATGATGAAACAAACAAAAAAATGGATGTCTGGATTGTGTAAAATATGGAAGTACATTCTTGAATTTGTCCTCAGAAACTTTGAAGCAAGAAAAATTAATACATTTTATAATTTTTTTAAAGAAACATGTTGAACTGTAAAGTTGCATATTTGAACTTTTCCTTATATTATTTCATTTTGGCTTGGTCGTACATTAAGTTGTTTCACTCCAAAAATATCACTTCTAAATTGTGAAAGGCATCTAATTTAGCCAAACTTTTTGAATTTTAATAGGAAAAAGTTTGTTTGTGTTATTTATCCTTACGGATTTTATATTTGCCCTTTTAAAATTACATTGAACAATACATGAATAACAGGTATTCTTAGAGTATGCTTGTCCCCTACCGACAAGTGAAATCTAGTTAAATCTAGTTTAAAATTTTCTGTAAAAATTCATTGAAGTGGAACGAAGTGCAAAGTTGAAATTCGCTTACCAAAAATTAGCTCAATATCTCCAGTCGTGTAGAAAAACATTGCGAAAAACTGTTAAAAAATAAAAAGGTCGTAATTCCTTAAAAGACTGAAGCGAAACGAAAGGCAAACATGAATTTAATTCAAGATATACTCCTATACCAAAAATCAGCTCAATGTCTTACAGCATTTGGAAAAAAAGTGCGGAAAACCATTTGGGACAGACAGAGGGTCAGCTATAGACAGACAGTCGGGCGGACAGACGCAGAGGAAATTTATAGTCCTCTCCAGTTTCATCAATTTACTAGTATTTGAATTTAAAAACAAATGGTTTGACGGTATAGCCAAGAAAAAATCGGATTGAAATATTTCATGTTCAATACATCTTGTCACCATTTTGAAGAAGGGACACTTGTAGCAATGTGCCAACCATTCCTCCTCGAAAATAAGTAGAGCAATTAGATTTTATTGGGGGAAAAATTGGCTCTGGGGGAAATCGCACTCATGATTTCCCCCGGAAAATTGACTCTGGCGTGGGATTTCCGTAGTGAAAATCCTACTCTACAGCCAGTTTTCCTGGGGAAAATCCTACTCTAGAGCCAGTGTTCCGGGGGGAAATTCTACTCTAGAGCCAGTTTTCCGGGGGAAAAGACTTTAGGGGGGAAAAGCCTACTCAACAAGACCGGTACATCTTAAAGTGTGGTGAAATGTACGACATTTCTGAATTGATTTAGAAATGAATTATTTACCGTATTGCGCAGAGTTCAATTTCTTTTATTTTAGATCTAAGAGAATCAATTTATCTTCAAATAATGTCCTTTGAATTAAATCAGGGTGCAGTAAATACTTTTGAATTTCATCAAATAAAAAAAATTGATGTACATCAATAAACAAAGACTTGCATTGATTCTTTTCTATACCTCATAAAGCACTGGATTTACATATAAATAGCTTTGGAGGCAGATAAATAACCCCATGATATATTACTATAGACATTTAGAGTGTTGTGCAAATACTTTTTCACTTCTTTAAAATATATTCTAACTCATTACATTATACATGAAGTGGATTACTACCTATAATAGTTTTAGAGCTCCATATACCTCTTTGATCTGCTGCGCATGCCTGGTGAATGTCCATTGGTCATTAACAGATTCAATCCATTTGCTAGTAATTGGTTATTTCGTCAAATGATTAATTGCTTTTCAAATGCATGACAATACAGCCATTTAGAAATTACAGACAATAACAGGCAATCATTTGATACCGTTGATAGTAACAAGAAACGTTTGATGTGCGGTCAAAGTATCGTTGATGGGACACAAAATTACATGTAGAGTGTAGCAAAAATCACAAAAGTAACTTGCGCTGTATTCATATTTCGTTAATCAGTTAATAAGTGGAAGTTACTGGTATAGCGAGATCAAAATGTCGTTTGGATTCTCAAACGTCAGTGAATCCAGTATTCCAAACATTACCTTTGGCTACAGTGATTCCAACATGTCTAACACAACAGCTGAAGCACAAGAGCATGTCTTGGATTGCAAATGGCACCTTCCATTAATGGAGTGGTTGAAAGTTGCTATGTTAACATTTGGTTTTATTGGAAACGGACTGACATTGTTCATAATTACTCTGAAAAAGGATTTACACAATAAAACGTTTGCTGTCATTGCCTGCCTCGCTTTTTCTGATTGTATCTACTGTTTGGGGGGATTATTGTGGGGTCTTATGTACTATGCCTACATGGACCCAACTAACTATAGAAACCTGCAAAATTGTACCGGTGAATTCTTATACCAATACATAAAGAAAGTGATTATAGTTCTTATGTCTTCAACATACCTTGCCTCTGGCTTTTTAATTGCTGTTCTATCAGTGTTCCGGTACATCATCATTTCTTACCCGCTTAAAGCAAACATTCTTCTGACCAAAGGAATTGTTATAATGACCATCGGTGTGGTTTTTATCGCTTCCTTTATCTTTGGGGTTTTAAAAAGTTTCGTTTTAAGCGAGAAAATCGAGAGAACAGTTGATGTTTTTGTTTCTTATCTCGCACCTCTAAGTATCATGGTGATATTCCATGCTCTTAAAATAATTAATCTCAAAAGGAATAATCTGCAGACGACAAACTCCTCGGTACGGAAGATGGAAGTGATCGTTGTCATGGTGGTGCTTGCTTTCTTTCTTCTACTTCTGCCGTGGCACGTGCTGGCAATCCTGTTCGAGTTCGGGCTTTACTCTCCAGAGTATGTGGCACAAACCGTTTCCTCTCTCCTCTTCCAACTCAATAACTGCATTAACCCTGTGTTTTATGCCTTCCTGTCGCCTCGTGTCAGGGAGGGGATATGTCCTTGTTGTGTTCGGAAGAAGAAAAAGACAAGAAATGTAACAGACACTCAGTCTTCATCTATAGCGAACAGTTCCAGCTGTTCTACAATTCAATCAGCAACTTTTACTTCATTTCAACAAACCACCTGAACAAATCGCAAGTGAAAAAGAATTATTTCAACATACATGTACAATGTATGTGTGAAGTAATCTAGCTACATGTATGTTTTCTAGTGAATGTTTTTTTTTCTCTCATCTTTAATAAATTAAAATTTCCTTGGCCTTATCTCAACACTATACAAAAGGATGACAGTTACACTTTCCTCAATAGTTACAGTGTATGCTAACTACTAGTCAATGACATGCTAAATATGCTTATTACTAGTATGGAACTTTGTTCTCAGTATTCCAGGTTTGATCGCTGGCCATTTTAGTGAAACACCTTAATATGACTTTTCTATTTTTGCGAAAGCGAGGGGACATTTAATCTCAGTCTCCTGTCGGACTGACACAAAAACTTTAACTCATTCTGAATGAGAAGATGTAGGAATTTCATATAGTAAATTCCACTTTTGCATTACCCGTGGCAAGACTTTTTCAAATATACAGTACTATGATTATTTTGACCCTGTGACCTTGAAATTTTACCCACTTATCAAAAATTTTTACATTATATGTACTTGAAATCGGTCTTAATTTTAAAGGAGAAAGTCTTTAATATTACAAACGTGTATTATCTGTGACAAAGGTTTTCTAAATACATTGTGTTTTATTATCCCTGACCTTGAAGTTTGACCTACTTCTCAAAAACTTTACCTTGATCATAACTTTTGACTGATAAAAGATAAGTCTTGTGTATGGAACACCGGGACTGTCTTATAAACATTATATGCAGTGTTTCCTTCATTATATGCGGTACTATTATCATAACAAAAATTGCACTAAAGTAAGATTGTAATGTATTTCTGTGAATCCGCACTATTCAGCTTATTAGAGAGATAACAGATGCGTCTGAACCACTAGGGTGACCTTTTAACCTGAACGATTCCCAGAATATACCATTCATTAGAATGCGGTGGTTTACTTGTTTGCTTGTTTATCGGAAGATTTTCTTGGTCAGGAGGAAGAAGCAACCAAGGAGATTGGGGGTGATCAGAGTTCCGGTGTTTGAATAAATTATCTACAGAAAATAATATTTCAAAATTATGCAAAAGATTGGTAATTATTTTAAAAGTGCATTAGAAAATTAAAAAGTACGGAAGGTCAGAATAAAAGTAATTACAAATTCAAATTTGGAATAAAAATAATTATTGCAAATTTTAAAGAACAACTAAAATATGCAGGGCAAGTACGGGGGTATAAATGTAGCTCAGTGAGACAATTCGGCAGTAGAAAGCTAGATTTTGTCTCTTTCTGGTTGCATTTATACAGGTAAGATTATTTTATAGACTTGCGCGCGTTTTGGTCAAAATTATTAAATTTTCACATGGCTAATTTTATTTACAGGTTAAACTTTTTATATTATAAGTATTTATATTTATAATAATGTTTAATATCTTGTGTAAAATTATTTATTGTAATTATAGATATTAAAATGGATTGTTTACTTCAATAAAGAGTGGAAAGCTGGATTTTGTGTCTTTCTGGTTGCATTTATACAGGTTGGGTAACATTGCCACTCCCCATAATCTGTAATGCGCTGGACATGCAGAAAGAGAATAAATAAATCCGAGGGAGATAAGATGCAAACTGGGACATTGGAGGAAGTTTTTTTCCCTGGCCCTTAAAACCTTTCACATGCGGAAAAGCGAAGAACGATCCCGGAAGTTTACAACCAGATCCAGTAGCCAGACAAAATTATATATTTACATCCACTGAATAATTTCTCCTTTATTTCTTAAGAAAACCCATTGCATTAATCACTGCATGAACTACATTAGGCATGTCGCCTGTACAAATTTTTTACCAGTGGCTGTTCCATCAATGAAACGTTTAAAGACGTTCACATCATTAATACAATAATTAACCTTTTTAATCCTACATTAAATGATTATTTAAATAGATATAAATATAAACAATAAAATGTCTTTCTTTGTTTGTTATTACTAGAATTAACGGTCGCAGCTATTGCAGAAAAAATTTACACAACCCGCTTACGCGGGTTATGTATTTTTCTGCAACAGCTCCGACATTCATTCCCGTAATAACAACCAAAGAAAGCATTTTATTGTTTAAATATAAATTCCCAAAAAGGAACATTAAATTTTTATGAAACTATTTTAATTATATGAAGTAGGTTTTACATTATATTGTGTACAACTTCCATTATATGCAGTCCTTCTTTCATTATATGATGTAATTATGTCATTATATTATGTTCATCTGTCATTATATGAGGTGTTTTTATCATTATATGAAGTGCTTTTAACATCACACGCTGTAGTTCAAACATTATATGCAGTAAACACAACAATATATTATGTACTTCTAAAATTATATACAGTATATTCATCATTATATGTACATGTAGTTATTATGATGATGCTGATCGTTAAATATTATTTCCGGTCCAGTTAGCATTCCGTGGGGTAGATTTTGTATTCCGTTATGATGTAGACACAGTATTATATTGGCGGTGCTTTCTTCTTTATGATGATGATGTTTCGGAAGCTATATACGTACCTTTCGGAACCCCCTTGTTATATTTAGAAAGTTTCACTATTTTCGTTAGATATGAAAATTCTTAATAATATTGGGTTATCCTTAATTATAGGGAATCAACCACACGTAAGCCGAATAATTATGTACCACACAATATTTATCCCTATATCATTATTTATTCAAAAGTGAAAATCAAAAGTTTTCATTATCTTCAATGTCTCTCCGCATATTTCGCTGTCACAGCCTTAATTCTCCTTTGCATGGAATTCATCAAAGTATTTATCTCTCAAACTCTGGCTATATGGGGCATGGGTAACCACGTCGAAAAATTAGTCACTATTTTTTTAGGGCCGTAAGAAGCAATTTCAGTTTGGGGGAAAGGAGAGGGGGTTTTCAGTTCGGGTACTATTAACTATGAAAAATTCCTTGAAAAGCAAAAAAAAAAAGGGGTTATCAAACGTGTTTATTGAGGGGACACAGGCATAAAGTATCTTAATTTCTATAGTATTCTATACATTGGGAAATTATTGGGGAGGGTTCCGCCCCTCCCCTGGACCCTGTTCCCCTCCCGGTTCTTATGGCCATGTTTTTTCAAGGAATTTTGTCGAATTCCTTTTTGTAATGTATGTTTCTACTGCTACATTAAATGATTTGTATTTTCCCAGAGGCATGCATGACCAGGACCAGGACCATAATTATAAGTGAGCATTCACTCATACGCTGAAGGCCTAACGGTTAACCTCTCAAAAACTGTAAAGTTAGAACCTATGGTTAGAAGAGTAGAACCATCTAACAAATAACGATTATTTGTAGTTTTACATACAGTACATACATGTATTTGATTAAAATACCAAACGAACAATTCAATTCAAAGCAAAAATATAAAATAGAACAACGAGGGAGTCAAGATGCAAGTGCATTTTGGCTAGTATCAACGCAACCTCACAATGACTGCATGAGTAGAAAGAAAATATAGAATTCAAATAAACTGATTGCAAACAAGGAATAAAGATAGTGAATGTCAATCCCGAAATATACATGTATATTAAGTGAAATGAAAAAATATTTTGGTAGGCCATCTCTATGAATTTTTGTCTTAAGTTATCGCCCTTGTAAAATTAAATGACATAATGTTTTTGGCACAAGTACTCAATTCTAATAAATTCACTTAAAATAAAAAGATCAAGAATAGACATTTTATACTTTATTTTACAACAACGAAAGAATGTTCTCATTATTTTGGAAATAGAATCATTTCCATTATTTTTAATTGTAAACAATTACGAAAAATCGATATATAATGCATATAAGTAGTTTATTTCACACAAGTTAGAAGGAACTGAGTCAGAAAGACCAAATCAAAAAAAAAAAAAAGAAAGAGAGAATGATCATGAGAATGTGGGGAGACAGAGAGAAAGACACAACGGGAGGGGAGGAGGAGTGAGATGGAGAGATATAGTGAGGGAGAGAAAAGAGGGTGAGAGTGGGCGGTTAATACCTCCCATTCTATTTAAACACCTTCTGCCTACTCTCCTTTCTCTCTCCTAATCACAATTAGCCTCCTACTATCTCTCTCGCTGTCTTTGAGAGAGGGCGAGAGTAGAGAGAGAGAGAGTGGGTGAGAGTGAATCCTACTCTCTCTCCCCACTCTTATGCTATCTTTTCCCACTCTCCCCAGACAAAGTGGGGAAAGATGGAGTAAGAGTGGGAGAGAGTAGAGTGGGAGAGAGAGAGAGATAGGGGGAGTGAGAGTGGGGAGAGAGTGAGAGTGGGGAGAGAGAGAGAGGAGTGAGAGGGAGAGAAAGTGGGGGAAAGGTAGTAAGAAAGGAGAGGGAGTGAGAGTGAGAGTGGGGAGAGAGGGAGTGAGAGACAGAGAGAAGGAGTGAGAGTGGGGAGAGAGAGGACTGGGAGAGGGGAAAGAGAGGGGTGAAAGTGGGGAGAGAGAGAGGGGGGGGGAGAGAGAAAGTGGGGGAGATAGGGATTAAGAGTGGAGAGAGTAAGAGTGTGGAGAGTGAGTTTGGGAGAGAAAATAAATTAAAAGCAATTATTTTTATCGAAATGATATATACATATCTGTTATCTTGATATATGGAACGCCAGGACTGTCTTTTATAGGATTAAACATTATATGCAGTGTTTCCTTCATTATGTGCGGCACTATTTTAATTTTATGAAGTAGTTTTTACATTATATCATATGCAACTTCCATTATATGCAGTACTTCTTTCATAATATGATGTAGATATGTCATTATATTACATGTATGTACATCTGTCATTATATGAGGTGTATTTATCGTTACATGAAGTGCTTTTAACATTATATGCAGTAGTTCAAACATTATATGCAGGAAACACAACAATATATTATGTACTTCTAAAATTATATACAGTATATCCATCATTATATGTAGTATTTCTGTTATTATGATGACGCTGATCGTTAAATATTATGTCCGGTCCAGTTAACATTCCGTGCGGTAGATTTTG